GGTGATTATCCCTAGGGTATACTACTCTCCCTACAGACAGGAAATGATGTACAATCTCTGCTGGTTAAGGAGATATATGTAGGTGATTATCCCAGGGTTACTACTCTCCCTACAGACAGGAAATGATGTACAATCTCTGCTGGTTAAGGAGATATATGTAGGTGATTATGCTAGGGTTACTACTCTCCCTACAGACAGGAAATGATGTACAATCTCTGCTGGTTAAGGAGATATATGTAGGTGATTATCCCAGGGTTACTACTCTCCCTACAGACAGGAAATGATGTACAATCTCTGCTGGTTAAGGAGATATATGTAGGTGATTATCATAGTGTTACTACTCTCCCTACAGACAGGAAATGATGTACAATCTCTGCTGGTTAAGGAGATATATGTAGGTGATTATCATAGTGTTACTACTCTCCCTACAGACAGGAAATGATGTACAATCTCTGCTGGTTAAGGAGATATATGTAGGTGATTATCCCAGGGTTACTACTCTCCCTACAGACAGGAAATGATGTACAATCTCTGCTGGTTAAGGAGATATATGTAGGTGATTATCCCAGGGTTACTACTCTCCCTACAGACAGGAAATGATGTACAATCTCTGCTGGTTAAGGAGATATATGTAGTGATTATGATTATCCCAGGTGATTATCATAGGGTTACTACTCTCCCTACAGACAGGAAATGATGTACAATCTCTGCTGGTTAAGGAGATATATGTAGGTGATTATCCCAGGGTAACTACTCTCCATACAGACAGGAAATGATGTACAATCTCTGCTGGTTAAGGAGATATATGTAGGTGATTATCCCAGGGTTACTACTCTCCCTACAGACAGGAAATGATGTACAATCTCTGCTGGTTAAGGAGATATATGTAGGTGAAGAGATGATGTAAAACCTTGTATTGGCAGACTAGAGATGATGTAAAACCTTGTATTGGCAGACCAGATATAATGTAAACTCTCCATTGGTAGACGAGAGACGATGTAATACCTTCTATTGGCAGACGAGATATAATGTAAACTCTCCATTGGTAGACGAGAGATGATGTAAAACCTTCTATTGGCAGACTAGATATAATGTAAAACCTTGTATTGGCAGACCAGATATAATGTAAACTCTCCATTGGTAGACGAGAGATGATGTAAAACTAACACTGACAGACAAGAGATGGTGTAAAACTACCACTGACAGACGAGAGATGGTGTAAAACCTTCTATTGGGCGAGACATAATGTAAACTCTCCATTGGCAGACCAGAGATGATGTAAAACCTTGTATTGGCAGACGAGATATAATGTAAACTCTCCATTGTAAAACCTTGTATTGGCAGACCAGAGATGATGTAAAACCTTGTATTGGCAGACGAGATATAATGTAAACTCTCCATTGGCAGACCAGAGATGATGTAAAACCTTCTATTGGCAGACGAGGTATGATGTAAAACCTTCTATTGGCAGACGAGACATAATGTAAACTTTTCCATTGGCAGACGAGATATAATGTAAACTTTTCCATTGGCAGACGAGAGAAGACGTAAACAATACTCTCTTAATCTCTCCATTTGCAAACGAAACCTGATGTAAAACTTTCCCTTCGCAGACAAGAGATGATTTTAAAACACCATTGACAGAAGAGAGATGGTGTACAACACTAAATAGGCAGACGGGAGAAAATGTAAAACCTGCTACTGGCAGACGAAAGATGATGTCATATCCTCAATTGGCAGACGGGAAATGATGTAAAACTCTCCATTGGCAGACAATAGACGAAACATAATGTAAAAATCTCCATTGGCATACGAGAGAGAATGTAAGTCAAACCTGCTACTGGCAGGCGAAAGATGATGTCATATCCTCACTTGGCAGAAATGATGTAAAACTCCCCATTGGAAGACCAGCGATGGTGTAAAACTCTCCATTGACAGACGCGAGATGATGTAATACTCTCCATTGGAAGACCAGAGACGGTGTAAAATTCCTTTGGCAAACGATTTATAAGATAAGACCTCTATATTGAAAGACAAGAGACGAAGTAGAATTATCATTATCAGACGATAAATGATATATACGTCTTTGGCATTCAAAACAGGGTGTAAAATTATCATTGACATGCGAGAGGTAATTTAAAATTCACAAACTACCACATGAGAACCTCTCCTTTGACAGATGGAAGAGGAAGACAGACGAGAGATGTAAAAAATATCTTTTGACTAGAGACAGAATGTAAAACTCCATTGGCAGACTAGAGCAGATGGGAATCTTTAAGAGAACAAATGAGAGAATATAGAATCATTAAAGACATGGAAAAATTATAAATCACTCCGAGGACAAATGACAGAATGTCAAGCTATTTTTAACAGAGGTGGAATGGTGTAAAATTCTCATTTAACAGACAAGAAATTGTGTCAAAGAAACTCTCCTTTCAAATACGAGAGATGACGTAAAGCCTCAATGATGACAAATGAGAGAGAATGTAAAACTCCATAACAGATGGTGATGACGTACTTCGTTGGGAAATAATGCATATGTCCATGTATTGCAATTTACGGTATATGAGCCCTTTCGTACCCCCATCTTAGACTTGTCAACTGTTTTTCAAAACAAAATTTACAAGAAAGTTTTTGTATAGGTACATTTATTGAAAGGAGTGCCAGTTTGGGCCTTCTGTTGGCCATGACGAATACTTTTTATTTTTATCTATTAAAAACTTGACATAAGGCGGTAATGACATGACATTAATCTAAGGTCAGCTCAAGGCTGTTCAGTTGTTATAGGGGGACGAGTGAGGGATCAAATTCATAATTATTGCAATAATTATCAAACTAAAATATTTTTTTTTAGTTTTTTTTCTTAAATGTCATTTGATGATATATTTCAAAACCTTCATTAGAAAAAATGACCCAAAAATATGCCATTGTTGAAAAGTAGGTCACGGTAATTAAGTGCCCTAATTACTAATTAAGTCAAACTTGAGCACCGTTTTTTGTCTTAATGCATCTATAAACAATACGTTTATCACGTGCAGTGTGTTTATTTGAAATATTTTTGCATGAATTAGAGCAATGAAGAAGTTACAGTCAGGGTAAGAGAGGCATGCCATTTAAATAGACTAGTTACAAGTTAAAGTGCAAGAGCACCAGTCACTGTCTTATTCCGGTTAATGAAAATGAATACTAAATTATACTGTATGAAAAATATTATTTCAAATATATTTCACAGTGTAATAATTCTTCCGTGCATTAGTTGTATTCTTGAGCTTTAACGTAAGATGGTTTGACACTAGAGCTTTAACATAAAATAGTATGACATTATGACATCTCCCTGATGTATACCTTGTTAATGGTCTTGTTTCAAACACTAGCAGACTTCAGTAATCTACAATGCAGTGTATGTAACACATGGTATATCCAGCTATATAAGTATACTTTGTTCTGTGCAGTTCGCACATGCATTGACTTATGCACATATCTTGTGTATCACTAAACCGTTAAATATAATTTCATTCATACAAATGTGACATATATATAATAGTACATGTATTATAGTATTTTGTTAAGTTTTTATTAACTTTTTGTTATTTTTGTAAAATGCAAGTACACAAGCAGTGTGCTTGCTGTAAAGCAGTTTATAAAGTCAGAATATATTGTCTGAATCAGGCAGATGTTCCGTCTTTCTTGAATGATAACATCAATAAAGATTAATGTTTAGGTGACCCTGTAATGTAAGAAATGCAGAGGAAGATTCTACAAACACCATGAACCAGTAAAGCATTCTAACAGTGGTTTAGACCATCAGAATGAGACACCTGACTCTAAAAATATCAAACTTGATATTCCACGAGCTACGCCTACTGAATCGCGATGTTTCGTTTGTGGAAAGTCCAGAGATGAAAAAAAGTAAAATGGCGAAACCATGCACGGAAATAAGATTTTTATTAAGACAGATGTCTTGATTCCAAACACATCTAGGTGCTGTGCTTCTCATATAGTGGATGGTGATATTCATTCCGATGTTCTTCAGTCACTCACTCGTACCAGTGAAGACTCGGAACTGGATTCATCTGAAATATCAGAAATCCTGCTTTCACTGAAATCATTGGCTTCTAGAAAAAGTTGTTTGGACTTTGATTCACCTGATGGATTAACTGATCAAGATTATTATCGACTCACAGGACTTTATAAATCTCAGTTTTCCGAGCTTTCACAGTCAGTTAACACATCTCTGTACTCTTCACTAAACAGAAGTGCAAGGACTGTATTAGCTGTTCTTCTTGTAAAGTTGAAAACGGACATGTCCTTAGCAATTTTAGCTACTTTGTTCAATAGGACAAAGCGAACGTGTGGAAAATGTATACACTCTGCTCGAAAAGCATTAATGAATCACTTTGTTCCTTCCTGCATTGGCCTGCATCACATCACAAGAGAACAAGTTATCCAAAACCATACTACAATGTTTGCAAAGACAATGTTTGCCTCAGGTGAGGATGTCGCTGTGGTTGTTGCTGATGGCACTTATATTTATGTTGAAAAAATCATTAATTACACATTCCAACGTCGGTCTTTCTCAATGCACAAGGGACGTCCTCTCTTGAAGCCAATGCTTCTTGTAGCTTCTGATGGTTATATCTTGTCTGTTCTTGGTCCGTATTTAGCAGATGGTCGAAACAATGATGCCAATATCACAAAGCACATGCTCAAAACTAACACTGAGAACATCAATGATTGGTTTTAAGATGATGATGTCCTTGTTGTTGACGGAGGCTTTAGAGATGTGACAGATTTTTGAGGGATTCTTGTATCAAAACAGAAATGCCATTTTTTTCTACCAAAGGGTCAGAAGCAGCATACCGTCAAAGAAGCAAATGAACCCCGTCTTGTTACAAAGGTAAGGTGGGTTGTTGTCAGCCAATGGACGGATTAAGCAGTGGAAGACGTTGGGACATGTACTGCCAAACACATTAATTCCCGTTGTAGGAGATTTTGTACGAATGGTTTGTGCAATTTGCAATGCCTTTCGCCCTCCACTTGCTTCGAATTCTCCCAATGACATTGTAATTGTCGAGAGAATTATGGCATTGTCCAAAACACCTAACAAACTTCAAACTCTTATTGAGGCAGAAGGGTTAACAAAGAAGCGGTCTATTTGGGTAAAGCTTGATGAGGCCAGTTTGCCTGATTTCCCGAAACAGGCAAAATCCTACACCAAAGAGCACTTAGCTGAAGATGGTCAGTATGAACTTATGCTATGCAGGGAGAAACCTGACTTGATCAAAGTTCAGATTCGTTCACGACATGTTGCTTCGAAGGTGTACAATCTTTGGATTGAATATTCTAATGGACTGACCCCAATATCAGGCTGGTATTGTCAATGTAAGGTTGGTGCCAGAGTAGTCGGCTGCTGTGCCCACATTGCATCTGTCCTATGGTATCTTTCTTATGACCGACACCAGTCTGATACTGCACAAACAACTGCCTCCTCAAGTTTCCTTAGTTGTGTTGATGACGCAATGACGGTGGAGAACTGGTCAGATTGTGACAGCGACAGTGACTCCTAAATGAATATCCAAACACCACCATTCCCCTTACTAAAGCAGTAAACAAAAATACAATCCCGTAAGTAATAGACAAAGGTCATTTATGATCCTGTGAAACCCGTTGCTAAATTGATTTTTTCCCATTTTAATATCATCCATATTTGCAAAAATATTTCAAATAAATACTCTGCACGTGATAAACGTATTGTTTATAGATGCAATAAGACAAAAAACGGTGCTCAAGTGTGACTTAATTAGTAATTAGGGCACTTAATTACCGTGATCTACTTTTCAACAATGGCATATATTTTTGTCATTTTTTCTAATGAAGGTTTTGAAATATATCATCAAATGACATTTAAGAAAAAAAAACTAAAAAAATATTTTAGTTTGATAATTATTGCAATAATTATGAATTTGATCCCCCACTCGTCCCCCTATAACAACTGAGCAGCCTTGAGCTGACCTTAGATTAATGCCATGTCATTACCGCCTTACCTCAAGTTTTTAATAGACAAAAAATAAAAAGTATTCGTCATAGCCACCAGAAGGCCCAAACTGGCACTCCTCCTTTGCTGTATATGTAAATCTTTATGTATTCGTCGTTTAATAAAAACGGTCATTTTCAATTTATATGAAGAGTTTGATGTTTTCTGTTGAATTAGCAAGTCTAACAAGCTTGTCATGGTGATGGTGTGTATTATTTATAACAGAATCTGATGTGTGTAAGAGAGAGTCGGTTATCACTGCACACTACTACAGCCCTTCTAAGCACATGGAAATTCTCTTATGTGTTTTCTGTGACACATGTTGTGGTTGTCAATCGTTTACCAGTATAACTGTACACTATTTAACTCTTGATTGCCTATGCTGTTTTAGTGAAAGGAAATCGGGTTCTGTTGGTTGCGTTGTGAGTTGAAAACGAGGTTGATGTAAAAAGTTCAGTAGTGTCATTGGTTGTAAGTTGTTGGAGGAGAATTAAGTTTCAAAATAACACATTATTGTTATATCTTCATGTAAAACTGAATGATATGCCCGAGCCTTTGTTATTAGGGTGATAATCTCCACATTATTGATAAAATTTCTCTTTCATCATTTTATGGTGTTTAAACACCACAGTAGATATCTATGATAGATTTGGACCGCCGCAAAGACCTACAAATTACTTACAATGCAGGGATTCCAAGAAATGAAGATCTTCTTGGATACCGTTGAGAAATGCACCAGAAAAAGGACACATAACTCTTTATCATCACCAGACAAATAGACACGTAACTCTTTATCATCATCAAAGAGACACATAACACTTTATAATCATAAAAGAGACACATATCACTTTATCATCCTCAAACAAAAAGACATCTAACACTTTATCATCTCCAGACAATGAGACACATAACACTTTATCGTCACCAGACAATGAGACACATATCACTTTATCATCCTCAAACAAAAAGACATATAACAATTTATCATCTCCAGACAATGAGACATATCACACTTTTTCAAATCCAGACAATGAGACATATGACACTTTATCATCTCCAGACAATGAGACACATGACACTTTATCATCTTCAGACAATGAGACACATAATACTTTATCATCCTCAGACAATGAGGCACATAACACTTTATAATCCTCAGACACATAACACTTTATCATCTCCAGACAATGAGACAAATGACACTTTATCATCTCTAGACAATGAGACACATAATACTTTATCATCCTCATACAATGAGACATATAACACTTTATAATCCTCAGACACATAACACTTTATCATCTCCAGACAATGAGACACAAAACACTTTATCATCCTCAAACAAAAAGACATATAACAATTTATCATCTCCAGACAATGAGACACATAACACTTTATCATTATCAGACACATTACACTTTATCATCATCAGACAATGAGACATATCACACTTTTTCAAATCCAGACAATGAGACATATCACACTTTATCATCTCCAGAAAATGAGACACATACGCTTTATCATCTCCAGACAATGAGACACATAACACTTTATCATCCTCAGACACATAACACTTTATCATCTTCAGACAATGAGACACATAACACGTTATCATCATCAGACACATATCACTTTATCATCCTCAAAGAGACACATAACATTTTATCATCATCAGACAATGAGACGTGTCACACATTATCATCATCAAAGAGAGACATAACACTTTTTCATCATCAGACAATGAGACGTGTCACATATTATCATCATCAAAGAGAGACAAAACACTTTTTCATCATCAGACAATGAGGCACATCACACTTTTCGTCATGAAAGAGACACGTAACTCTTTATCATCCTCAAACAATGAGACGCATAACACTTAATTATCATCGGACAATGAGACATATCACACTTTATCATCATCAAAGAGACACATGACACTTTATCACACATTGAATATCATCTATGGCGATAAAAATACACATTAAGCGTGTAATGCGTCTCCCCTCCCGTCCCCCTTCTTATTTCCTCCGGAAAGTCATAAGATGTTTGCAGTAGGCCTAGCAAACCAACGAGTACGAGTTGTCGCGCTTCTTTCATAGTTTAAATGGAAAACAACATCAACGCACATTTAATCTGTTTTTTTAATCTAATGACTGACTTTTTATTCATTTATTTGTTTATTTTCTGATACTTGAAGTTAAAGGATTTTTTATAATCAAGTTTTTGCTACACTCTTCCACCTTGCTACAGCGTCGATGTGTTGCTATACCCGAAACTCTTGTTTACCGTACAAAGGTTTAACTCCAGGCATACGAAAAATAAATTGTGGGGACACTCTGTCATATTGGAGAAACATACGGACAAGAACCTATACTGTACACAGTAGGACATTTTCATGTCACTTACACTAGGTTAGTTCAATTTCTCTATCGACGGCCTACAAGCGGCGACAAACTGTACACATAAAGATGGAGTACTGTAGCCCGGAGAAGACAGCTTTTTGGACGTCGTTTTTTTTTTTTTTTTTTAATCCAGAACATTTTTATACTAAAATAGACAATATAATTTATATAACTGGCAAATTTGCACAAGACTAAGACTAGATAAAATTGTACATAATTTAGGTGTTGATGAATAAATTCAGACAATGAGTTTAAAAGATTGTTGTTGTAATTATTCATGAACCATATATATATATCTGGTAGATTCAGAGGCAAGCTTCTTGTGACAGATGTGAAATAGCCCATTCGTCCTTAGTTCTGTCGCGGACTTTTCCATAATACGTACCGTGTGCGCATCAGTTAACACTCCTCGCAGTTCGTCGTAGTTAAGTCCGACAACTCTGTCACGAATTTCGTAGGTTCCAATTACGGAAGGCGGGCTTATAAAATATAATAGGTAGAGTAACATCCCTGACTTAACGCAAAATTATAGAAGTCTACATGTTAAAAACTTCATAACATTAATCTCATATTTGTGTCTCATTACAGCCACCGATTAGATATGCATTTATATCTATTTCAGTTAATCAGCGATGGGTCAAGAAGTGTTTGTACAGACTAAAAGAAAAAACAATGGACTTTTAATGATGTTTTGCATGTAAACTTTGTATTTTTATATATTTCATGTATTATTTTTTATCTTAGCTTGCAGTTGGACACTGCCGCTTGTTGATGGGAAATACATATATTCCTAACGAACTGAATGTATATTCCAATAATGACAAATGCTATTCTGTGTTTATTTTCTAAACATATTTTACTGAACTAACTAAGAAAATTTTGTTATTTAGTATTTTGTATACAGTTTCCTAATTTCAGAGCTCTCAGCTGTTTAGGGTTCGATGATGTCATAGCAAATGCTTTCCTCCAATGAAAACCCTCAATAACTGGCTAAGGTGCGCACGACTCTCGGAATTTGGCGTGGAAGGAGAAGTCGGCCATTTTGGTTACTTGACAGAGGGGATTTATTTTGTATATATGTGTCATCATCAGGACGTTTGGAAGGACATTGAGGTTGCCATTTCTTCAGAAATGAGAATGGCCCATCCGTACAGTCCTGTGTAAATGGATAACTGGCTCAGATTGATAATTATAAGGCCATTTTCCAGGGACCCAAGGGCACTGATAGATAGGTTCGGTGCCTTGAATGACCCCGATATTTGCCAGAAAACACCGGTGTACGGGTCGGTTTGTGCTGATTAACGTCGTTTTCCATTGAATGAGGGTGTTGTTCTTAGTTGGATCTTCTATAACAAGATCTATGATATCGCTTAGCCCCAGGAAACGTCAATTTCCGTCGCATCTACCTGTTCATCTCGAGTAATTATATTCAACATGTCGACCCGAGCACCTCTTCAAACCGTGCACGAATCGGTGACAGTCGATCATCATGTGAGTATTCGCTCAATTTCGTTTGCACATATTAAAACGTTGTCTTAAACATATATCAAGCATAACAAATGTCAATTTATTTGTGTTGCAGTCAAAAGATGACAATGCAAACCCTCGTATTACGTCGTCCAGGAGTCGAACCGCAGACGAGCCTCACATCGGCAAATACCGGCTGATAAAGACCATCGGCAAAGGAAATTTTGCAAAAGTGAAACTAGCCAAGCATGTGCCAACAGGACGAGAAGTAAGTCGAATGCGATTCCGTTTGTTATTAATATGATAAGTTCCTTGTGCAGCAAAGGCGTTGTCCCGGTGCTAGCTTAGAACAGCTGATAATCCGTCAGTTTGTTGACACAGATATGAAGCTGTCAAAATGGAGGTTTATGATACGTACATGTACATGGACGCATCACAAATGTCTTTGGATCATTAGTTGGATTTGTCTGTGCCCTGTGTTAGATTATTAATCTTGGTTCAAAAATAAATAATGTAGAGAAGAGATGGATTGTAAACTGTCTCACAACCAAGGAAGGGTGGCAACCATGGCCTGTAGTCACATTAGGAATTTAACATTAATTTTTCGATTTTTTCACATAAATTTACAAACACATTAACTCAGTATTTGTAACAACATTAATGAAGTCACTATATAGTCTTTCAATGCTTCATTTTTCACATAAATTCGCAAAAACATTAACTCTGTCAGTGTATCGATCAGTAGAACACACAAAAACAATCCAGTGTACAATGTTGCGGAGAGCTATGGATCTGGACAGCCTCCCTTTCTTGAAGTCCTTTTTAGCGATCATGATAGCTTGTTTCGTTTACATGGTTTCGTCATTGCTTGATAAATTTCATCTGAGTTTTGTGACAGTGAAAATATGTCGTAAAAAAATTTGGAACATATATGTGTTTTTTTAATGGTCAAACGATATTGAGAGCTTAATATCGCTACAAAAACAGTTAACTCCCGACAACATGTGCACATGCGAGCAAAGGAATATCGCCCGAAAAGATTACATACTTCATTTTTGGGAATGCACATCGTTATTAAAAGGTGGTTTCACACAAGTTAATCCGATAATGATGTTTACTTTGTGTAAAGCCACCTTGTGACAGGATCGGTGACGAAAACAATAGTCGAGAATGACACATATGATCGCCTTTCACTGCCCACCAGGTAAACTTTAATTACTGGTCAGAACTTGGTCATAATTGTGAGGTCAATTATCATTAATTAGTGGTCGTTCGGACTGCAAGAAGTGGATGTAATATGGAATAGTGGGATGGTCGTAATACTGATAATACAAAGATATACAGTGAAAAAACCGGGACTGACATAAAATGCCCATAATAGCGGGGTGGTCGTAATTTTGAGGTGGTCATTAGGTGAGGTTTCACAGTAATTCTTTATAAACTGGGTTTCTCCACTTTGTATTTGGATGGATATGAATGGACACTCTGGATGTATTAGCACAATCATATACTAGTGCTGTCATCCATACCCAGATAGCCTGTTTAGGCAGAGTTCCCTTAGTTTGGAATGTGGACAGGTATTGATGGACATGTACGGTTGTATATATTAGCTCAATCATATTACAGTATTACAAATGAAATTATAGAAGATTGTAGCCATTACAGATATGTCCTTTCATATTTACAAATCCTACTGTGTCTTATTCTCTATTTTGTGTACTCGTTTATGTTTTGTAAATTGCTGCATTGTTGCAGCTACACAAAATGTTGGACTGTTTCTGAAGCTGATGCATTAGTCTTGACCGCACATTGTGGTCACTTAAAAATGGACATAATACTCAACAGTCTTGAGGCACCTCGCATGTGTTCAGGAAATTACAGTAAATAACAACACAAACACCCTGTTTATATTACACTTTTATAGACAATTAAAGTTGTATTATTACACACACATTTAATTTATGGCAAAAATTACAATTTATGTGTGTTTAAAGTAATGTGCAAAGCATATGGTATAAACTGATATACAAACCAGTATTTTAGATGGCATGTGTGAGTGTGAAGCCAGGATCTCCTTGCAATAGATATGGTTAAATCTTGCCCTATCACAACCAGTTATGTTAGGATGATTTTAAGGTTGCTTCATTCATTCATTTTCTAAATCAATGATTATCATTTTTGCATGCCAAACTTTCACGTATGGTAACCATATAAGGTACAATTTATTTTCAAAAGTTGATTACCTGGACATAAATTTAGCATGTGACAGGCCTATCATACACATGTGAACAGAAACTTTGCTCTGACAAAGCAGTGTGGTAGTTAATTGTACACAATATAGCCAGTGAACTTGCTGAATGATGAATCTAAAGCATTCAACAACAACATTTGAGCTGGAGCTTGGAATTTGACCCTGACTGACCCTAGAACATAGTGAAAATGATGTGAAAAATTACGTGACCCTGAAAGTTCAATGAAAAATCATGATTCAGTGAGTTATTACTTGCATCATGAACCTTGACTGATATTGCCAGATTTTTGAGCCAAAATTGTCACTCAAGATGGGCTGATCAAATAATTTTTTGTCATGGTTAGTCATCCGGAAACTATTCTCATTATCATTACACCTCAGAATAAGTGTATATAATCTTCTTCAGTTGTTACTGTGTAATAATAATAATAATCAGAGGATAAATGCATGTTAAGCCAAAGACTTATCTAACACATGGTCCTCTTGTTAGCAAAAGTACATATCAATGGGTTAGTGAAAACATGTATGAGTAAACAATAAACTTCATCTGTTGAATAAAAATTACACGATTACATACATTATTGAAAAGTATACAGTGTACAAATGAAAGACTTGGTTGCTCTAAAAAGTAAAAAGCTGCAGTATCTTGTAAAATTGTCTACAAATCAAGTAAAAGTTTGACTAGCAGTCTTTTAAAAGTAGTAAAACAATTGATCCCCTTAAGTTCGTGAGGTAAAAGATTCCAATCTTTGATACTCGATATTAAAAAATGGTTTGAGTAAAAAAACAGTTCTGTGTTTTGGAACTAAAAAGTTATCACAGGCATATCTTCTAGTTCTATTGTGACTATTTATAACTAATGAGACATTGCTAGATAAGTAGTCTGGGACATCTTCATGTAAACATTTAAAAATCATACATTATCTTCTGAACTTAAAGTATCTATCAATAGGCATCCAGTGTAAAACTTCAAACATGTCTTTGGAAGGGGTACATCAAGAATCATTCTGGCTGCTTGTTTCTGACTTCAAAAGCTTGCCCATTAAATTTCCTTAACAACCTGACCACACAGTGCTGCAATACACAAAATATGGGAAAACACATGCCTGAAAAAAATTCAGTTTTCCTTCCATGGGTAAATATGGACTAATAACTATTATTTTGGCGGACATCATCGACAACTAGCTCTGCTAACTTAGAATAGCATGTGACAACAATACTGTAGTTCAGACTTACACTTGAGTAATTTTGAAGGATGTTGCCCTGTAAAATAACCAGCCTGGTTTGTTTGTTACATCAAAGCACACGTCTTCAATGTTTTTTCCTCAAGATTTTCCCAGAATGCATTTTTTATTTGTCATGGTTGGATGAATGGTTTAACAATCAAGCTGCTTTCACCTTCGTTTTTTGGTAGGGTGGTCCAGATACAGTAATATGCCATCTAACATAGACTATTCATTGGAACATCCTGTTTGGGGGAACTTGTGTATATAAACAAAGTTGCTGTCCTATATTTTGATCTTTAAACCTGTTCAAAGAAAAACATGTCTTAAAGCATGTTTCCTGTCCTGTTACATATTGGATAACGAAACTACCTCCATAGGGACATTTTGGGCAAATGGAGTGCTGTGCGACATAAAATGGCCACTGTGACCACATACTATAAACTTTGACTCTGTTCAAAGTTTAAAAAAATTCTCTGCAATTTTTTGACCCTGTTTTATACAAGATTATCAGATTTGATGTAGAGTGACAATGCTCTCTTTACAATGAGGTTGTCAGATGATTCATACAATAATAAAGCTCCTCGCTAGATTTTCAGGTTGAACTTTCTTCATGGTTAAATATTGCTCAGAAACATTCAAGTTTAGATTAATTTACCCATCTTAGTTATTCCTTAACAATAGCAACTCATATTTTCATGCCCCTTCTGTTTCATTAGGGTGGGAGAGGAGAAGATGCAACCCATATTCACCCCTTGAGATCCTAGATCAAGTTATTGTCAGATTCTGGGTGAAATCACAACTATAATATATGATTCTTGATCAGAGATTATTTCAGTTCATAAAACTTTACAGGTGTAATCCTTGCAAATGACATCAATGACTTGTAATCACCAAGTGAAGGGAATAATTGTGATAGAAGTGGGAAAACTGACATTATGTGATATAACTGTTATTAATATACTGAAAAAAGGTTGGATTTCTGCTGCAACACATTTATCAATCAACAAATGAAAACATTTTCGTCATACACTCATACACCTGACACTATGAATTAAGATTTTACAAACACCGTTCCACATAGAAAAAGTTAAAACATAGCAGATACAAACATGACTATTCACTCACAGAAGTATCCATCAAAATCAACTTTCTTCAAAAACTGTGTCTTGGGTACGTTTTCAAGAATCCTTATAGGACTTGGTCCATTTACAGAGCTATTATGTGGAGTATGACATTTTACTCGGGGAGAGATGGGGTGAGCTGGTCAGTAAACTGGCATGACTTGCATTATGATTATGTGTCATTTGAAAGTATTAATGTTCATGACCTGTCTTGGGATGACCAAAACAAACTGATGACAGATGGGCTTGTAAAACAGAATTTTAACAGTGTTATTTGTGAAATGATTTGTCAGTGGGACAGAGGACTGAATCTGAATTCACCACAAGTACACCAGTATTCATATCAATGCTGGCCATCATGATAGTAAGTAGATGCAGAACTGATGCATGACACTTCATTAGCATTTCATTTGTTTTGTAGGTGATTTTTAAGGTTGTTGAGTTTAATGCTCATACTAGTAATGATGTACAACAAGGTACAGGATGATATGGTACATAATTATGTTATTTCTATAGCATATAATAATAGTCTGGTTGTTAGAAATGTGAATTCTTAATTGATATGGAAATAGTGTTTTAACAGCGTAGATATTATTCGCTTTGCATGATAAGACTGGCTCATGTTTGTGTTAGTTATATTTGTGTATTGATCTCAGCTTTTACACATAATATTGAAGCAGACTATTATCGATAATGTAATGTAGAGGGAGCTTAACATATTGTCAAGCTACATACATATAACACTTTACCAGGAAACTCACTGTCTGATGATCAGCTACATACATACGGATGTGATTAGGGCTAATACTCTCCAGTACACATGGCCCAAGTGAACACAGATATAATGGCCACATAGAATTATGATTATCCAAAAATGTAACAATATGGTTCATTTTTCAAGGAGTGTATAAACCCATTCAACTGCATTAAAATGGAATTATGAATTAAGATCTGTCCAGGCAATGGTGGAAGTTTCATTGTTTTCTGTGAGACAATACACCACTGATCTGTGGGTTGAAGTCTGAACTATCACCAGAAAAGCAAAGTACAAAGCAGGCAGTCGGTGTGTTATCTGTAGTTGCTGTTACTGCTGATGGCCTTTGTACTTCATACTAGCTATTCTAAACAGAGGAGTAGTCATTTGTTGACCTATGTAATAGATAGTCATTAATTAGTGGACAAAAGAGTACTCTGACACTGAGATCTAAGGCAGGAAGGAAATCACTAATTTCTCATAACCTCTGATATCAGAGGATATCTTCATCAGAGTTCTATAAATATACTTTAGTAACTGGTGAGCTAGTCTTCGCTCAGTTGATACTTAAGGTTATGGAAATGAAACCCTTTTATAATTATATAGTTACATGTTAACAGTTTCAGAACTTCAACATATTGAAGATTTTAAGCATTTGTCTTTAAACTTTTTAGTTAGTTTTTTTAAAATGTTTTTTGATGGCCCTAATGACCTTTTATGTGTTGATGGGCCATTAAGAATGTAATAATAATATTCAAGATGAATTCTGGCTTGCTTATGATGTTTTCATGGAAAGGACAATGTAATGATATAAATATTGAGAAAGAAAACACAAACACTTAGGGGAGTCAATAAATTATATTCTGGTGAGCTACACACTACTACATTTAAATACCAGTAAGGTAGACCTAAGTCATTTGATGTAAGCATGTCAGTAGGTTTTAAAATAAATTATCAAAATTTCAACACATACTTTAATACACCTTTCCTAAAATTAACATGTGTATGATTTCAAACTTACTGAATGCACTATAGTATAATTATGAAATGGTAAAACTTTTATAATTAGTGTGTGAAAATCATCTTCAGGCATTTTTGGTTAATAGGAAATCTGTATGGATCAAGACAATTTAATGTAGACATGTTTTCTACTTGAAATTGGGTTAAGGGAAAACCTTATTCACAGTAGGAAATGAAAGGTGATAGGTGAAGGGTATATGTGAGCCCATCTTTTCAGGTAACTTGTGCCTGAAGTGACACTGGATGGGAGACCCCAGATATATTCCGATGAACATATTTTGATATTCTAGGCATGCTGTGTTATGAAAATATGCTTGTGTATATATATTTTACAGTAGTTTAAAGCCACAGATCTCTTAGTGTGTTTGGTACACTGGTGATTCATCAAGGCAGGGTTTATTTAGGGCCCATATACTACATGTATATGATAACACTAACACAGCAAACAGCTTCAAAAGATCTTCTTTATAAAGTAATTACATGTTAATAATCCTGGCTAGGAGATTCTTACTATAGTGGTTTGACTGGTGCCTATCCACTCCCTGCTGTTTCCTCTATCCTTCTGAGGTCTTGTTAATTAATGCAATATTGCCTAGTGAATTAATTAAATGACTAAGCCTGCTGATTGTTCATGAAATAGTTGTCTGTATTTTATGTTACTACTATCTGGTACTGAGTCTGTATGTATAAAACCTAAACAAGATTTTGTAGAAATGAATAATGATAGAATTAATCTGATAGACTGGAGATTTTAATTACATTCATATTTATTTAACTATTATACACATAGACACCTGTGTATGCCTCATGTCCTTGTGTTATTGTTCAGATGACAGTTGTTTGTAAAGCCTTATTATAAATAACAACCCATTAAGTTGTGATTTGACTGACATACAGTCCTGATCTTTACATTTCAGGTGGCTATCAAGATCATTGACAAGACACAGTTAAATCCATCAAGTCTACAAAAGGTATGTAATTAATTCATCCTGTAAAGTTTCTCTAAGTGTATACCTCTTAGTAACATATAGAATATAAACTACTTCACTGGGACACTAGGTTATTGCCAGTGTATAATTAATAGTACATGATGCTTGGTTGTCATTGTGGTCTCATCAAGCCCCAGCTGTACACACTGATGATCTGTTTGTTAGTACATAGTACTTGGTTGTAATTGTGGCCCCCACCTGTCCCAAGCTGTACACAGTGATGATCTGTCTGTTAGTACATAGTGCTTGGTTGTCATTGTGGTCCCATCAAGCCCCAGCTGTACACAGTGATGATCTGTTTGTTAATACATAGTGCTTGGTTGTCATTGTGGTCCCATCAAGCCCCAGCTGTACACAGTGATGATCTGTTTAATGCATAGTGCTTGGTTGTCATTGTGGTCCCATCAAGCCCCAGCTGTACACAGTGATGATCTGTCTGTTAATACATAGTACTTGGTTGTCATTGTGGTCCCAGGTTGTCATTGTGGTCCCATCAAGCCCCAGCTGTACACAGTGATGATCTGTTTGTTAATATATAGTGCTTGGTTGTCATTGTGGTCCCATCAAGCCCCAGCTGTACACAGTGATGATCAGTTTGTTAATACAAAATGCTTGGTTGTCATTGTGGTCCCATCAAGCCCCAGCTGTACACAGTGATGATCTGTTTAATGCATAGTGCTTGGTTGTCATTGTGGTCCCATCAAGCCCCAGCTGTACACAGTGATGATCTGTCTGTTAATACATAGTACTTGGTTGTCATTGTGGTCCCAGGTTGTCATTGTGGTCCCATCAAGCCCCAGCTGTACACAGTGATGATCTGTTTGTTAATACAAAATGCTTGGTTGTCATTGTGGTCCCATCAAGCCCCAGCTGTACACAGTGATGATCTGTTTGTTAATACAAAATGCTTGGTTGTCATTGTGGTCCCATCAAGCCCCAGCTGTACACAGTGATGATCTGTTTAATGCATAGTGCTTGGTTGTCATTGTGGTCCCATCAAGCCCCAGCTGTACACAGTGATGATCTGTCTGTTAATACATAGTACTTGGTTGTCATTGTGGTCCCAGGTTGTCATTGTGGTCCCATCAAGCCCCAGCTGTACACAGTGATGATCTGTTTGTTAATACAAAATGCTTGGTTGTCATTGTGGTCCCATCAAGCCCCAGCTGTACACAGTGATGATCTGTTTGTTAATACAAAATGCTTGGTTGTCATTGTGGTCCCATCAAGCCCCAGCTGTACACAGTGATGATCTGTCTGTTAATACATAGTGCTTGGTTGTCATTGTGGTCCCATCAAGCCCCAGCTGTACACAGTGATGATCTGTCTGTTAATACATAGTGCTTGGTTGTCATTGTGGTCCCATCAAGCCCCAGCTGTACACAGTGATGATCTGTCTGTTAATACATAGTACTTGGTTGTCATTGTGGTCCCATCAAGCCCCAGCTGTACACAGTGATGATCTGTCTGTTAATACATAGTGCTTGGTTGTCATTGTGGTCCCATCAAGCCCCAGCTGTACACAGTGATGATCTGTTTGTTAATACATAGTGCTTGGTTGTCATTGTGGTCCCATCAAGCCCCAGCTGTACACAGTGATGATCTGTTTCAAGCCCCAGCTGTACACAGTGATGATCTGTTTAATACATAGTGCTTGGTTGTCATTGTGGTCCCATCAAGTCCCAGCTGTACACACTGATGATCTGTTTAATACATAGTGCTTGGTTGTCATTGTGGTCCCATCAAGCCCCAGCTGTACACAGTGATGATCTGTCTGTTAATACATAGTGCTTGGTTGTCATTGTGGTCCCATCAAGCCCCAGCTGTACACAGTGATGATCTGTCTGTTAATACATAGTGCTTGGTTGTCATTGTGGTCCCATCAAGCCCCAGCTGTACACAGTGATGATCTGTTTGTTAATACATAGTGCTTGGTTGTCATTGTGGTCCCATCAAGCCCCAGCTGTACACAGTGATGATCTGTCTGTTAATACATAGTGCTTGGTTGTCATTGTGGTCCCATCAAGCCCTAGCTGTACACAGTGATGATCTGTTTGTTAATACAAAATGCTTGGTTGTCATTGTGGTCCCATCAAGCCCCAGCTGTACACAGTGATGATCTGTTTGTTAATACATAGTGCTTGGTCGTAATTCTGGCCCCACCTGTCCCAAGCTGTATACAGTGATGATCTGTTTGTTAATACATAGTACTTGGTTGTAATTGTGACCCCCACCTGTCCCAAGCTGTACACTGTGATGGTCTGTCTATTAGTACATAGTGCTTGGTTGTAATTGTGGCCCCACCTGTCCCAAGCTGTACACAGTGATGATCTACCTGTTAGTACATAGTGCTTGGTTGAAATTGTGGCCCCCATCTGTCCCAAGCTGTACACTGTGATGGTCTGTCTGTTAGTAAATAGTGCTTGGTTGTAATTGTTGCCCCACCTGTCCCAAGCTGTACAGTGATGATCTACTTGTTAGTACATAGTGCTTGGTTGTAATTGTGGCCCACCTGTCCCAAGCTGTACACAGTGATGATCTGTCTGTTAGTACATAGTGCTTGGTTGTAATTGTTGCCCCACCTGTCCCAAGTTGTACACAGTAATGGTCTGTCTATTAGTACATAGTGCTTGGTTGTAATTGTGGCCCCCACCTGTCCCAAGCTGTACACAGTGATGATCTGTCTGTTAGTACATAGTACTTGGTTGTAATTGTTGCCCCACCTGTCCCAAGCTGTACACAGTGATGATCTGTCTGTTAGTACATAGTACTTGTTTGTAATTGTGGTCCCACCTGTCCCAAGCTGTACACAGTGATGATCTGTCTGTTAGTACATAGTACTTGTTTGTAATTGTGGTCCCACCTTATCTCCAGCTGTACACAGTGATGATCTGTCTGTTAGTACATAGTACTTGTTTGTAATTGTGGTCCCACCTGTCCCAAGCTGTACACAGTGATGATCTGTCTGTTAGTACATAGTACTTGTTTGTAATTGTGGTCCCACCTGTCCCAAGCTGTACACAGTGATGATCTGTACATGTCTTGTTTGTAATTGTGGTCCCACCTGTCCCAAGCTGTACATAGTACTTGTTTGTAATTGTGGTCCCACCTGTCCCAAGCTGTACACAGTGATGATCTGTCTGTTAGTACATAGTACTTGTTTGTAATTGTGGCCCCCACCTGTCCCAAGCTGTACACACTGATGATCTGTCTGTTAGTACATAGTACTTGTTTGTAATTGTGGTCCCACCTTATCTCCAGCTGTACACAGTGATGATCTGTCTGTTAGTACATAGTACTTGTTTGTAATTGTGGTCCCACCTGTCCCAAGCTGTACACAGTGATGATCTGTCTGTTAGTACTGTCTGTTAGTACATAGTACTTGTTTTTAATTGTGGTCCCACCTGTCCCAAGCTGTACACAGTGATGATCTGTCTGTTAGTACATAGTACTTGTTTGTAATTGTGGTCCCACCTGTCCCAAGCTGTACACAGTGATGATCTGTCTGTTAGTACATAGTACTTGGTTGTAATTGTGGTCCCACCTGTCCCCAGCTGTACACAGTGATGATCTGTCTGTTAGTACATAGTGCTTGGTTGTATTTGTGGTCCCACCTGTCCCAAGCTGTACACAGTGATGATCTGTCTGTTAGTACATAGTACTTGTTTGTAATTGTGGTCCCACCTTATCTCCAGCTGTACATGATAATTGTCTCCAACAGAGTACATGTGCTTTGTTGTCATGTGGCCCCTACCCCCATCTCCAGCTGTGCTATACACACTGATGATCTGTCTGTTAGTACATGATAGCTGGTCATTATTTTTGCCCCACCAATCTCCAGATGTACATGTTAATTGTATGTAACTGAGTACATGGTGCCTGGTTGTCATTGTGGCTCCAACCCCCATCTCCAGCTGTACTATACACTGTGATGGTCTGTCTGTTAGTACATGGTGCCTGGTTGTCATTGTGGCCCCACCTGTTTCCAGCTGTACACTGTCTATCTATTAGCACATATTGCTTTGCAATGATTTGTCGTTTTTACATGGTGCCTGGTTGTCATTGTGCCCCAACAAACCCCAGCTATTCACTCTCCAATGCCCGCTTATGTGTTTTAAGTGTTGGTGCAGCATGCATGCATTTGGCTGTTTACATTCGATGAGTCATTTAACACCCTGCTTTGTCAATGTCTTTTGGTCTTTCCACTTTGTCTTCAACTTTTGGCTGCATTTTACTTGCAAATGATAATCTCGATCTTCTATTCAGTGATAGCAGACCTGTAACTCTGTTAACCGTTGAAGTATTGTGTATTATTGATTTCCATTGAAAAGGTGATAAATACAACACAATATGTGAACTTGTTTTATGTTCTACACTATATAGCTTACAATACATGTATACATTTCACCTTTTAACATTAATCCTGCTGTTGTCTCCGCTAAATTGAATAGGTCCAATATGTGTACTGAGATGTATTTGTCTATTATGTATACATGTATTGGAAAAAAATTAGCAAAAGTTTTGACAAGTCCATTTCAGTCCAATTAAAAAAGCACATGATTGTTATATTACTCATATCAATAAATTTGAAATGAGTGCTCAAGATATGCTGTTGTTCCTACAGAACTCCTTAAACGTTTTTCCTTACATTTGCAGCTGTTTCGAGAAGTAAGGATCATGAAGTTACTGGATCATCCCAATATAGGTAACTTCTTTTATTTTCTTTCATGTTAGGTAAATGGTGGAAGGTAATGATAGTCTGGTCAAAATTCTGTCTAATTTTTAGTTAATACATGATAAAGTTTGAAACGTTATATATGTAATACAGAACTGGATTGAATTTAAGGAAGCGTCTAGTTTTGAAACCACCTGTAAAGTTAATTAAATTTTAAAGGGATACTTGTCTGCCAATTTCTCGAACTTTTATTCATGTAGACAACCAGACCTTTCCAACATGCAGTTTTGTCTGCAAGCTTGTTTAGCAAGGAAACTGATACAATGCCATCTGTTTTCTAAATCTCACTATTTTTACCAGTAATTTAGCAAACTTGAACCACCACAGAAAGGGCCTAGTGTTAAACAGCTAGCAGCAAGTGGGAAGATAGTATACCAAATTACAGCACCAAACTTTTCTATGTCTAGCTGCAAATGAGTGTCTGGTTTTGTGAAGAGTACAACTGGGTGTTCAGTGTTAACAGCTGATATTGCATATCAACAGGGAAACAAATACCCATTTTACTGCACTTCTTAAAGGATTTCAAGGATAGACAACTTACTGCAAATTTCCTAACAAAAATAAATTACATAGATGGCTTAATAATAAAAAAAAGTTTCCTTATTCTGAAAATAGAGCATTCTTGACAGGTTGAAATTGAAGCATGTTTTGGTTATTATTGATGTTTTGGGATGAGAGTTTAAATAGACAAACTGGTCTTGTTTCGAACGGCATTGGTGCAATAAAAACTTTTCAGTCTTTTATTGTTGAATTTTATGTTTTTCAGTGAAATTATTCGAGGTAATAGAGACGGAAAAGACATTGTATTTAGTGATGGAGTATGCTAGTGGAGGTAAGCTGGAGACATAATGAGAACTAAGCATAGATTTCCTGGTGTAATATGGCCAGGTTAGATAATTATGCTGACATATTGTAAGATTGCTGGCACAGTCATACATCCTCACAAACACACACAGAAGATGTAGGACCAGTACTATGTTTGCATTACTCAGCTTTTGTATTATTGAATTGTCTGGTGAGGATTTGGTATTGCTGTAGAGCTCTATGAAAAGGTCAAATTACTGTATATGCTGCCAGAAATCCTGTTCATTCTCTATTTTACCAACACTTGACCTTGGTACCATTCCCTATTTGTTTATAATAACACATGTATATATATAACACTTGTGTTTTCTGCATTTCAGGTGAGGTCTTTGACTATTTGGTTGCACATGGTAGAATGAAGGAAAAAGAAGCACGTGCCAAGTTTAGACAGGTGAGATTTTACCTCCAATAATTTAGACAGATCCTGAGCAGCCTTTTAGTTTATGTTACAGATTCTTAACACTCCAGTTAAAAGTATGTCTGTGGAGGACTTGCTGTGGTTACATTTGTTTTCTGTTTAATTATCCACTAACTGAACCTGAATCCACAAAATGGAAGTTAATATTGCATAACATCTTGTTTGATATTGAATTGTACAGTTTACAATTCCAGTTAGCTTGCATGTTAAGGTAGAGGAATTAGAGGTTGGTTTTCCTATAATACCATGCTGACAAGTCATCAAGGCATACTATTACACAATATGTCCTCAACAGAACTGTTTTCAAATTCTAGGGTCAAGGTCACTTTGATCTAAATAGATAAAAATACTAAATTTGTCATTCTGCAATATTAACTTCTTATTCAACTCACAGGAAACATAAAAAACATGTCCACAAACATTTCCTTCTACGAAATTAAATATTGATCTCTTTTAAAATTAATATTTGACATCAAGAGTTATTCTGTATTTCTGATTTGTTCCTCCAGTCTGAATGGCTTTCATGTATTATGGTACCTGGATCTATTAATATATTATTCTATCTCCGCCTCATACTGTAGTTAGTCAGCATTAAGTCTGTGACTGGTTATATTATTATCAGCCTGCCCAAATTGATTACTGAGTAAAACAAAAACATCAAATGCTATTTCATTTCCATTGTCCTGTAATAAGCCAGTTCTCTACTTCAAGCTTGAGGCAAAAATATGATACACCCTCCAACACCCAACCCCACCCCCAAACCCCACCACAACCATTAGATTATTGGAGGGTAGTACTTGACAGTACTTGAAGCATATTTTCCCTTTGGTTTTCAACTGCAAACACAATCATAAACATGTTTAAGAAATACATTGTGGTACATATCAGTGTAAAATTTAATTATTGCACAAAAATTGACAGAAATTTAACCAGTCGGTGATGTATAAATTTTAATGGGTGTTAAGTGATCATTTGATTCAGAGGTGAACCAGCTGTTAGTAGTTGGGTACACTGGTTGTGTAGCCATTGAAAGGAAGAGATGAACCTACTTAAAGTTAATTTGATTTACTCATCAAACATTTATATTCAGATATCACCCCTATATGAATCCCTCTTGAGATGTGTTAAACCCTCCCTCTGTAAACTCTACACAAATTAGTGTTGATTACCTGCTTCCCATCACATATATAGGTGTAGAGGAATAGAAGCGTTGGAACAGAAACTGTTTGGTGATGTGTGACTAATCAGTGCCAGAACTTGCTTTATATAATATACACAATATCTTATAACTTGTCGTGCTACACCTGTCTTATTGTATGTCATATATTTGTATCCCACATTCACAAATACATGGGAGATTGATTGTCTTTACAGTTACCTGACTCTTTGTACAATCAATATATAACAGAACAGCAAATATTGGAAAACTTATAATATTATTGTTTTATTGGAGAGGGAAAAAAAGGAAATGCATACTTTATATTTATGGGAATTCCCTGTGGTATTCAGTTTCCAAAGCTCATAATGTTTACACCAAAGCAAGGTAATGTGTATTAAGGATTAGTAGTCTACACTACAGATTTATCATATCTATGTTACATACTAGTATGGAAGCTGCAGTTTTATTCATGAGCTTGTATTATTATCAATTTAATATATCCGATTTTTTGAGTGCTGTTGACGTTGTTTGAGTAACTCTGCTACTGAAGGAAATAGATTACTGGGCTAAATAGAACTTGTAGCTTCATTTGTTGAGCATAAGACCAGTAAATCAGAGGTTCCGAGTTAGATACCAGACAGAGACATTGAAGTAAAGAATGACCTCTGTTATATTTTAAAAGATATGACTTTGCAAATTTATTTATTTTGGTATAACATAGAAAAGATGAATTTCTTTGTGATATATAGACTCTGTGGAATATTATATGGGGTAGAAGTATGACAACCACCAATGTAAGAAATGTATGGGACACCATTCTGGATTAACTTTGTGTTGTTTTGGAACCTGTTTCCTCCTTGTCACATCTAGAACAGTTCAGTTCTCTTCCCCTATTACCTCACCAAAAAGTTTGTAAGTTTCTAGGTTAAGTTTTTAAAAGGCTTTTAAGTCTGTAAACATACCTCCCAAACCCTTCATCTTTGTCATATACATTGATTGAACATTTTGCTACGGCTGCTCTCTGAGAACTTTTTGATCATTGATTGCACTTGCTTAATTCAACAACCGGTTTCATTGTGTATTACATAGGCACACAGTATGATACTGAGGTGTCAGAGTAATGTGATCTGTGTTTGTCTGACTGCTATCTGTGAGCAGGTTCTGTCTAGATGACTGGGCCCAGTCATGGGCGAGTGATATAACCTTTTACACCTGACTGCATTTGTGTATTGATAATAATGGATCCTGATTTAGTGGCTGTAGTGATGATTGTACAGGGCTACAGGAGGTCAGGATACTACACAGGGTCAGATACCATACATTAGCTGTACACCTACACTGCTAGCCTCACACTCCCAGCAGGTTATCAGCTTTATCTGGTAGGAAGTGGGCCAGATAGAAACCATCATGTGAGGCTCCTGTTTCATCATCATTTTAGCTTAACTATAAATATTTCTCAGGGTTTTATCTTTCAATGGATCTTATTAGATTGTTTATAAAGTTCTTGTAAAGTGTACTTACTACTGCCGTGGAGGAAAGGGGTTCATTGGTTCAACAGCATTACATATGTACTTAAACCTGTAACAGAAAATTGGCGACTATGAAATACATTAATGAGAGAAGCACTGCTAGCCATTTGCATGACATCCTACCAACCTGGATCTAGCTGTCTCTAATTTATTTGATATGGGACATGATCTAAATTTATTTCATCGGAGACATGTCTCTGAACTTATACGATAGGAGACATGTTTCTTAACTTGTTTGATGGGGAACCTGTCACTAATTTTATTTAATTGAGGAGTTGTTAGGTCACACCCGAAGAGTCATGATAACCTATAGCCATTGTGCTTGGTCCATCGTGGTCAGTGGTGCGTAAACATTTGACAATTTAAACTTCTTCAAAAATTCCATCAGTGGGATTGAGGTCAGAATTACATGAAATTATCCTGACATAGTGTTGTTATTTTTTGGGTATATCTGAAGTCCAAAATGGCCACCATTTTGAAAAACCATTTTAAACTTCTTCAGTTCCACTGGTGCTATTGAGCTAAAAATTGGTGGGAAGGTTAAGGAAAGGTAGCCAACAAAGTTTGACATGTCAGTAAGGAAGGCCATTTTGTAACATGATTGCACAATCATGGTTTTCCTATGCAACATCTATTTCAAACATCTCAAGTTTCACCGGTTGCATCAGGTGATCTTCTTCTCTTTACTTATTTGATGGAGAACCTGTCCTTAAACTTATTTAAGGGACCTTTCCAGATGCTTACACTGTTACATACTTGTGTTAACTGGACTCCTCCAGAGAGCATAACCTAGCACCTGTTTGATTGGGAAGCCTTTATTTTGTTCCATCCTGACTATGAATTAATTAACAGATGTGTTTAGTTGTTTGGTTGGGAAGCCTTTTATATTGTTCCATCCTGACTATGAATTAATTAACAGAAGTGTTTAGTTGTTTGGTTGGGAAGCCTTTATTTTGTTCCATCCTGACTATGAATTAATTACCAGTAGAGGTGTTTAGTTGTTTGGTTGGGAAGCCTTTATTTTGTTCCATCCTGACTATGAATTAATTACCAGTAGAGGTGTTTAGTTGTTTGGTTGGGAAGCCTTTATTTTGTTCCATCCTGACTATGAATTAATTACCAGTAGAGGTGTTTAGTTGTTTGGGTGGGAAGCCTTTATTTTGTTCCATCCTGACTATGAATTAATTACTAGTAGAGGTGTTTAGTTGTTTGGGTGGGAAGCCTTTATTTTGTTCCATCCTGACTATGAATTAATTACTAGTAGAGGTGTTACATTGTCTTCAGTGAATGTGATGTAATGTATTTGACTGTGTACAACTCAATATCGAAATGTTTTTCCTGAAACAACAGTTGTATAGTAACCATGAAGATGTATATGACAAATTCCTGTTATCAGCTGAGTCATCAATTTCAACTGGATTATTGATGCTGTGTGTTTGTCCCTTGATTGTGAAAATGTTTGTGTCTGTTACTGACTTGTATTTAAGTAGATCCATTAGAAATATTGATGCCATGGTTACTACAGTATTACCACTAATAAATTGATGACATTCTGGCTGGATTGATTCGGCTCAGTATTGACTGCAAGATAAGTGGTTGACTTACCCAGGAAGACCTCCACACGGCTGGATGATGAGGAGGGAGTAATGATTGACAAGTCAATCCCTTTGTATCCCTGGTTTTGTCATACATTTCTAATGCATGCAATAATAACCATTGACACACTGCTAATGCTGGCCCTGGTAGTTTGAAACTGATTTATGTGTAGATAGTGCTGACTGGAGGAGAAATTGCTTGTGACAAACTCTTCTGGAAACTATTCCTAGGAATACTCAGAGACATGGAATTCATGATATGTTTCTAGGAAAATAAATGTTAAAAACTATTTGAACAACCAGATCAGTGTTATGTAGTTTTTAGCTAAATGCAAAATTGTAGCAAAAGTACTCAGCAAATCATAAATGGTCAGTCATGGCCTCTATGCTGCAAGGTTTGAGGAAATAGAAGAGGGTCCTCTCCTTGCTTGTATTGACTTCTGATCCGACTTACAAAAAGCAATTGTATGACATGGCCTGCCAGAAAATCAGTGTGCAGAGAACATAAAACAACCTGTTTATTTCTGCTTTAAATACAATTACTTAGTGTGATAGTGTATGTATGTGTGTACTAGGGCTAATGATGTAGCCGTGTGGTCACAGCTGAATGGAGAGGATATATAGGTAGACGCCGCCCTGTTGTTTCCTCTGTTGTGTACTAGGTACACTTGCGTTTAAATGAGTATATTTTATAGTATATTTAGGCCATGGGGCTATGTACATATATACTTTCTTAAACTGATGTGTTAACATGTGCAAACTGAAGTAACAAGTAAATATACAGTTCTCATTATAGAGTTCAAGTAGCCCATTTCTTACTCCGTATAAATGATTGTGGTGTGAACCAGTTGTCAGTAATGATAAATTTAGTTTTAGGTATTTTCCTGAAGTTCCACAGTATTAATGATATTGGAAAAATACTTAATAAGCATTGTGTCATTGCTATAGTTATGAACTTTGAATCCAGGAAACATTTTTAGTGCAACAAAGGGTTAAGTTATCACATAGGGCCTATTCTGTATCTGTATTTTGATTTCTGCATTAACTTCTGTTAAAAGTTTTCAAGGTTAATTTGAAAACAAATTTTATAGAAGATTTTTTGTGTTTAATGAGGTTTTCAAAGGAATATTTTTAAGTTAAATAAGGATCTAGTGTTAACTTTGATACCTTTACTAGTCTGAGAGTCAAAAACCAAAGTTTGAACTTCTCCATCTGGTCAAAGCAATATTTTGTAAATTAAAATTTGTGTTGCCTTTGATTACAACTTCTTATATAATCAACTAAGACCACACATGTGACATTTGTACTACAGTTTCATTGTAGTATGCATTGTAGGTAATGTACATTGATATAATCAAAAGTAATCCAGCCTTCCCTGGTGAGGAACTGTACAATAATTAGTGCTCACTGTACTTAGAGATACACAGGCACAAGAAGATAGATGTCTATTTTGTAAACGTTACATCATATGGCCAGGTAACGTTTACTACAGTGTTTGTTTATCAGTATTCATCAGGCATCTGATATATTAGCCCTCAGGCAAGTTTTCTGATCACATAGGCTGAAAATTATTTGACAAGTGTGTAATATAAGCCCCTTAGGTGTTTCAAGGACTATACAAACTTTGTGACCTTCATTGAAATTATCAGTAGTTGATGACGAAGGCCACACATGTACTCTTTATATTGTAGTTACTGTATTTAACCTAGTAAATGCACGGAAGGCTTGCAAAGTGGTGCGTTTTATAAAAGCAATCACAAGGGAAAAATTGCCATTTGAAATCTCTATGGAAAAGTGGAAACATTACCTTTTCATTAACATACCTTTACTTTGCCATTAAAGACTATTTGTAATAGATGGTGGGAGGGGGGAATAAGGAACTTGAGGAACTACAAACATACAAATTCATGCTGTATATTATTCTTTTCTGCAAAGTCCTCTTTTATGTAATGCTCACATGAAGAACACAAGAAGATGTAAAACTTTGTATAGATAATATTGTTTGGAGACACGGCCTGTTGTTGATGAGAATAGGATCTTCAGTATAGTTTCCTTATATACAATGAAGAGTTGTGTCTCTGTCCCTATCCATAGTTTAGAACTTCCATTGTGAGGGTTCACATATTGCTTCTTGTCACACTAACGTACCAGAATGATGTTTATGTATTGTGTAAATTGTTACCTGATCTTGTTTTGTTTACAGATTGTGTCCGCTGTACAGTACTGCCATCAGAAACACATTGTACACAGAGATTTAAAGGTATCATCCCCTATCTACTATCTACAGTATACTATATATATACAAAAGCTGTTAATTTTTGGTTTCCTTAACTTTTTGTATCTACCAGTGATGAATTTGTCATGTATTGCTTTAAAATTGTTTACAAAGAGGTTTCTTTTGATGCTTACTCTTATTTACTGAATGAATGTAAATAACAAGATTGAATGTATTTACTGAATGAATGTAAATAACAAGATTGAATGTTTTGTGTAAAGAGAATTACCGGTAAATAACTGTGTAAATCAGAGACCAATCTATAATACAAAGATGTGGCTAGAAACGTCTTGTTTATAATGCCAGTGGTGATTAATCTATAGTCACAGACCAGTTTCTCTCCAGGCTTTGTAAGCAATAAGACTGTTGTACCAATAAATTGCTGGTCATTTCATACTGATGTATATTAGTTTTAACACTGACTGTTCAAATGTAGTTATTTATGTAAATAATGTTTCAGTATTAGATACAATCTAGACACCAGCTGTTCTGTATGTACTGATATGTGTGGTATAACCTTTATACCAGTTTACCTACATGTGATGAATATTTGACAGGTAAACACCTCAGGTGCATACAGGTTATTATAGTTTATATGTCTCCTGTGTGTTTACAGTGTGTTAGGTAAGATAGTGATGTTGACTTACACCATCAATTGTCTATTTTTCTGTTTCTTGACAGGCACTATCCATTTTTTATTTTTCAGGCAGAAAATTTGCTTTTAGATGGTGACATGAACATCAAAATTGCAGATTTTGGTTTCAGCAACGAGTTTGTACCGGGTAACAAATTGGACACATTCTGTGGAAGTCCACCATATGCAGCCCCTGAACTTTTTCAAGGTAAGTATTTATTGATCAAAAAGGCATTCATAATCTCTTTAAAAAATCAGACCCTATCTAAAATAGAGAAAGCCGCCTTTTAATTAATGGTTGAAAAATGGCTGGCAAGAGACCATGTACTTACTTATCACTGTGTCACAGTAGTGACCTCCATCATAGACTTGTCACTGTGTCCCAGAAGTGACCTACATCATAGACTTGTCACTGTGTCCCAGAAGTGACCTACATCATAGACTTGTCAATGTGTCCCAGAAGTGACCTACATCAGAGACTTGTCACTCTGTCACAGTAGTTGCCTCCATCAGAAACTTGTCACTGTGTCACAATAGTATTACCTACATCAGTGACTTGTCACTGTGTCACAATAGTATTACCTACATCAGTGACTTGTCACTGTGTCACAATAGTATTACCTACATCAGAGATTTGTCACTGTGTCACAATAGTATTACCTACATCAGTGACTTACCTGTTTAGACATAGTTTTGATCTTGCTGTTAAAGCTGAACTTTGATGTAGTAGGAGAAGTACTTTCACCATTGAGTAATCAATATGTTGGTTCTGCTGAAAGGCCTCTCCTGAAAAAGCCATTAAGAATGCCTGGAGTAAACAAATTAATGAAGAGACTGAAGTATTTGCTTGCATCAGTGCCGTTGTAACGATGGAGATAGGGGTTTGAAGTACACAAACATTCTTTGCTCTTCACTGAAATGACAGACATAATAGGTTTTCTGCATAATTACATTTGCTAGAAGTGTTTCACTTCCAAAACCTTTATAGAAGTATAAGAAGTTCAATGATTTTATCTGTTGAAATTTCTTTTCTAGTGGTATTAATTTTAAGACTTATTTTTTTCATTCATTAGTTGTACATATTTTTGTTTTTGTTTTTTGATTCCTGTGCATGGCTTGAAATCTTGAAATTGATGTAAATGAAGGCCAGATTTTGGGTATATATGGTCCTGCAGGATGTATATAGAATGAGGATTGTGACCGGAGAAAGGACTTTCTGATGATACAGTGTATAAGGGCAGATGAAGGGTCCATTAGGTGAACTATGGTGTGTAAGGGCAGGTGAATGGTCCATTTAGTGAACCAGGGTGTATAAGAGCAGGGGAAGGGTCCATTTGGTGAACCAGGGTGTATAAAGGCAGGGGAAGGTCCATTTGGTGAACCAGGGTGTATAAGGGTAGTGGAAGGGTCCATTTGGTGAACCAGGGTGTATAAAGGCAGGGGAAGATCCATTTGGTGAACCAGGGTGTATAAAGGCAGGGGAAGGGTCCATTTGGTGAACCAGGCTGTATAAAGGCAGGGGAAGGGTCCATTTGGTGAACCAGGGTGTATAAAGGCAGGGGAAGGGTCCATTTGGTGAACCAGGCTGTATAAGGTCAGGGGAGGGGTCCTTTAAGTGAACCAGGGTATATAAGGTCAGGGGAAGGGTCCATTAATTGAAACAGGGTGTATAAGGTCAGGGGAGGGGTCCTTTAAGTAAACCAGGGTGTATAAGGGCAGGGAAAGGGTCCATTAGGTGAACCTGGGTGTATAAGGGCAGGGAAAGGGTCCATTAGGTGAACCAGGGTGTATAAGGGCAGATAAAGAGTCCATTAGGTGAACCAGGGTGTATAAGGGTAGGGAAAGGGTCCATTAGGTGAACCAGGGTGTATAAGGGTAGGGAAAGGGTCCATTAGGTGAACCAGGCTGTATAAGGGCAGATAAAGAGTCCATTAGGTGAACCAGGGTGTATAAGGGTAGGGAAAGGGTCCATTAGGTGAACCAGGGTGTATAAGGGTAGGGAAAGGATCCATTTGGTGAACCAGGCTGTATAAGGTCAGGGGAGGGGTCCTTTAAGTGAACCAGGGTATATAAGGTCAGGGGAAGGGTCCATTAATTGAAACAGGGTGTATAAGGTCAGGGGAGGGGTCCTTAAAGTGAACCAGGGTGTATAAGGGCAGGGAAAGGGTCCATTAGGTGAACCTGGGTGTATAAGGGCAGGGAAAGGGTCCATTAGGTGAACCAGGGTGTATAAGGGCAGATAAAGAGTCCATTAGGTGAACCAGGGTGTATAAGGGCAGGGAAAGGGTCCATTAGGTGAACCAGGGTGTATAAGGGCAGGGAAAGGGTCCATTAGGTGAACCAGGGTGTATAAGGGCAGGGGAAGCACTGTTGCAGAACGAAAAGACTTTTTTCTGTTTATATGTACATCTATGGATAAAGTAATCTGCTCAGTATTTATTTGAGAATAAGCCCATGCGTGGTATGACCTTGTAATAAGCCAGTCCGCTGATGTTGCATCAAATGTGATATGTTGGTCTCACTCTTATTGCAGGCAAAATACTCTCATGTTTGCAATCCTGTGATGATGATTTAGACTGCATTTCAGCTAAGTTCCAACACCCGTTGAATTGTGTTGTTTTGATTTCAGGGAAAAAGTATGATGGGCCTGAGGTGGATGTATGGAGTTTAGGAGTAATTTTATACACACTAGTCAGTGGTTCCTTACCGTTTGATGGTCAAAATTTAAAGGTAAATATGCCTACAAATGGTAACCATTGCCTTTTATAAATGACAGTGAATAAATGTCAAGCTAAATTATGGATAGCAAGATATGCAGCTAATTTATATCTGAAATGATACCTGTGGTTTTACTTATAATCAAGAGTTAAATACTGATTAATATTCTAAAACTTTGCATTGACTTGTTCTATCAATGGGCATTCTTGAAATATGAACTGACTTTATGTAAGGATGCTTTATAACATGAAGAGGACATTTTGATATGTGGTATCACCGAATGAGTGGATATTAAAAATTGTAAAGATGAAAGTTGATTGCTATTATTTTTGTTTCAGGAACTGCGAGAAAGAGTGTTGCGGGGGAAATACCGTATACCTTTTTATATGTCCACAGACTGTGAAAATTTGTTGAAAAAGTTTTTAGTTTTAAATCCTACCAAAAGAGCTAGTTTAGAGGTATGTATTGTTAATTAAGCTGACAACATTTTACATGGTAAATGATTGAACAATCAATAAACCATATGAAGAAAAATTGTTCTACAGAAAATAATGTTTTTATACAATATGTTAAAATGCTTTCAATCATTTATAAAATGTGATGGATTTATAACTTTTTGATGAATTAATTTTGTTGCATTTAACTGTTTTGTTTTCATGCAGAGAAATATGTTTGTTTCAATATCCATTTTGATTTTCCTGTGAATTGTTATTACAACTGTTATTACTGGTTTAGTGTATGTGATGTTTCCCTGTACTAGACACAGAATACAGAGCAATACCCTTGTCTGGCCATAATATACTCCCAATAGTTGTGTATGGAGGACCTTGGCCCCTGCAACGCCTGTAACGCCTGTAACCTTTGGAAATGAATACATTATGAAATCATCTCGTCCCTAGAAAACCAATACATTTAAAGTCTATTCTTTCATGTTTTGATCAGTTTATAATCTGCTGGCAAGTGTGGATATATTTACTAATTCTGTCCTTATTAAATTAAATATTTCTTATGATCTTGTGTAGAAAGATATGCTTTATAATCGTGTCTATGGAATGATAAAAGAATAATCTTTTATTCGAAGAGTTGTTGCATTCAATAACCTTGTCTACAGGAAGTGGATATATTTGTGCATTTAATTAATAGTGTAATCTTTCAAGATTTAATAGGTTTAGTAATTCTTTCATTTGAACTTTATTACTTGTGAAATTTTTGTTATTAATTTTGAAAGTAATGTATTAGATAGTTTAATCTTTCAGAAGTGTGTATATTGACAATCTGGTCGCTAAGACTTAATAGACTGTTGGAAACGTTAGGAGTTGTGAAAATGGTACATTGATAGGTGAAATCTAACAGGAATTGATGTGCTCACGATGACTTTTCACTGTGTGCTCTAACCCCTGTTCCTCACGATGTGGTAGTGTTGTGATATTAACATTCTGTCCTCTTTTTGCCTCTTTTGTCTCTGCCTTCCATCACAGAATATAATGAGGGACAAGTGGATGAATATAGGTTATGAAGATGATGAACTAAAACCCTTTAAAGAGCCTCCAGCAGATGTGCTCGACCCAATCCGGATAGGTAATGATCCGTCGGTCATGGGCCGAACCTGGCACATAACCACGACACGTCTATATACGCAGATATTCTCACAACGCCTTGTGTCTGTGTCCCTGTACTGCAGTGCCTAGAGGCTGTCAGGGATGCATCCTGCTCCCTGTTTGTATCATGCATTAAAGCTCTTCTTGAAGGGAACACATTCATTCCTTATTTTGAAATTTTGAAAATGGGTGGAGAAATTTACACTATTGAAAAATTTAACCAAAAAAAAGCCTATTGAAGAGAAATGTGAACCTTTTTGAAGTATTTAATGCATGAAACAAAAGCCTGCTTACGAGTGTTGTCCATTGTACTTTTTTGGTCAGTATAGATCAAATCTCACCCGATAAAAAAAAGCAAACTACAAAACTTTAGAATATATTTTGAGAGAATGATTTATACAGACAAAAAAGAATGGGCATGACTCTAAATTGATATTGTTTTTGGTCATATAAAAATTGAAATGGTATCATTTATTTTGTATTGATCAGAATATTATGAAAGACCGCTGGATCAATATGGGGTATGAAGATAAAGAGTTAAAGCCCTACAGGGAGCCGCCAAAGGATCTAGTAGATCCAAAGCGGATAGGTAAATGTAACACCACCGCCCTGAATTTGCTACTAATCTCTACTCTTATCATCAGCACTCATTGTAGATGTTTGATATCAGAGCAGATTTCATCACTAAGAAAATGACAATGTGACACGTCTGTGCTAAAAATTACAACCATATCCAAGAAAGAAAACTCCAGAAATAACACAAGTTGATGAAATAAGTTCTGTGAATTTTGAGCATGCAGATATTTACTTCATTTCTTGATCAGAACAACATATCTACAAGATATGAAATGTAACACAAGAAGTATGTTTGCATTCTCAAAATTTCCCTTGCCTTACCTCCATTGTGTGTTTCTATCATGTTCTGCTAGCTTTGGATTTCAGGTGGGGGATAGGGCAGCAACGGTTGACAATGTGAGACAGGGAAGGGTCAGCTAGATGGTTAACACTAGGCTGTGTTGTGTTGCTGTGTTTTACTACATATTATAAAATCTTGTTGGAAAAGCCACTGTTTTATGTATATTGTCAAATTTTACTACACAAGAGTTCAGAAACTGTTTATATTCGAGGCTGATAATTGGTTATACCCTGGACCATGTATATATTAATTGATCAGTTCATTTCTTAATGGAAGAGTTAAAAGTGAATGAAACATTTGATGTTTTTCATTAATGAAGTAAAACAGTGGTTTTTAATGTCATTATTGACAATCATCACATTCATGCGTTATTCTTTAAATTTGGTAACAAACAAGTACTCTGTAATTGACATAGTAATTACAGATTATGAAATCTAGGTGTGTCTAGTAATTACAGAATACAAAATCTGTGGCTATCTAGCAATTACAGATTGGGGATGTCTAGTTGTCTACAGGCTAGTAATTACAGATTAGCAAATCTGGGGATGTCTAGTAATTACAGATTACTTCATCTGACCATGTCTAGTAATTACAGATTAGCAAATCTGGGGATGTCTAGTAATTACAGATTACTTCATCTGACCATGTCTAGTAATTACAGATTAGCAAATCTGGGGATGTCTAGTAATTACAGATTACTTCATCTGACCATGTCTAGTAATTACAGATTAGCAAATCTGGGGATGTCTAGTAATTACAGATTACAGAATCCTGGGATATCTAGTAATTACAGATTAGCAAATCTGGGGGTGTCTTGTAATTACAGATTACAGAATCTGGGGGTGTCTAGTTGTCTACAGGCTAGTAATTACAGATGAGCAAATCTGGGGATGTCTAGTTATTACAGATAACTATCTGGGGGTTCTAGTAATTACAGAATCTGGATGTCTAGTAATTACAGATAACTATCTGGGAGTTCTAGTAATTACAGAATCTGGATGTCTAGTAATTACAGAATCTGGATGTCTAGTAATTACAAAATCTGGATATTCCTATAATTGCAGAATATGATGTTGTTAGGTAATTAGAGATTACAGAATCTGGGGAAAATTTCAGAGCACTTGTCTGTTTTTGTCTTGCTGTTTGTGGTTACATTTTATATGATGGAGGTGTAACCTATTGCCAATGTTGGATTTAGGTGGCTTAGGAATGAAACCAAATATTGGTGAGAAAGTTATTTGTGTTCCTGTGGAAACTGTTGATTTTTTCAGTATCTTCAATATTTTCGCAATTAAGTACTATTAAATTAAGTGGTAATCTTTTACTTTTGAGAATGGCACATTGTGCAATTTTTTTCCTCTTAAATTTTGTAAAGAAAAAACTCTTTTTAAGTTGATTTGATGTGATTTCATTGGTGTTTTTCTGAAATTAGTTTTATTTTTAAAACATTACTTGTAAAATTGAGAAGTTCTTTTTTTCTCTCTCTTTTTTTTTTTGTCTGTACAAACCTGAAATTAAATATGCTCTTTTCTGTTGTTTTTTTTTTCACGTGTTGCAGAAGGTATACTTTCTATGTTTTTCTTTGTATCTGATTGTTGCATGATAAACTTGTACTTTGGTGTCTTAGGTTAAGGTCACAGTGAATCTAGTGATGCTTACTCACACCTGGTCATTGTTGATGTTGTCAAGAAAGCTTGTGCTTTATAGGACTTATGTTGTTCATGCTTATCTCCCTTTGTGCTATCTGTGTGTGACATTGGAGGTTGTCGTAAACTGTGAAAAGTCATGTTACATGTCACTGAGATTGTCATTACGCTGTGACGATGTCTTGTTACATGTCGATGAGATTGTTGTTAGGCTGTGACAAAGTCTTGTTACATGTCAGTGAGATTGTCATTAGGCTGTGACGATGTCTTGTTATATGTCAGTGAGGCTGTGACAAAGTCTTGTTACATGTCAGTGAGATTGTCATTAGGCTGTGACGATGTCTTTTTACATGTCACAGAGATTGTCATTACGCTGTGACGATGTCTTGTTACATGTCGATGAGATTGTTGTTAGGCTGTGACAAAGTCTTGTTACATGTCAGTGAGATTGTCGTTAGCTGTGACGATGTCTTGTTACATGTCACAGAGATTGTCGTTAGGCTGTGACGATGTCTTGTTACATGTCACAGAGATTGTCGTTAGGCTGTGACGATGTCTTGTTACATGTCACAGAGATTGTCGTTAGGCTGTGACGAAGTCTTGTCACATGTCACAGAGATTGTCGTTAGGCTGTGACGAAGTCTTGTTACATGTCAGTGAGATTGTTGTTGGGCTGTGACGAAGTCTTGTTACATGTCAGTGAGATTGTCATTAGCTGTGACGAAGTCTTGTTACATGTCACAGAGATTGTCGTTAGGCTGTGACGATGTCTTGTTATATGTCAGTGAGGCTGTGACGATGTCTTGTTTCATGTCAGTGAGATTGTCATTAGCTGTGACAAAGTCTTGTTACATGTCACAGAGATTGTCGTTAGGCCTTGACAATGTCTTGTTACATATCACAGAGATTGTCGTTAGGCTGTGACGATGTCTTGTTACATGTCACAGAGATTCTAAAGCTGTGACAGTCTTGTACTGTGTCATTTACATTGTCAAATAAGTATAACAAAGCCTTGTTTCATGTTGTTTTGATCATGTCCACCAATAGATGTGACATATGTATTAATGCTAACCTCCTGTCTGTTGTCTTCACAAATATTAGCTCCAGGATGCATCTTGTCCAGCACTTGTATACATGTCCCATCTTGGTGTATATATATAGATACTGTCTCTGGAATGTCTTTATGCATTTAGCTACCGCTAATGGAGTCATTATCTCTTGTCTTTATAGAAATTCATTTATTTGGGTACAGTAGAAAAAGCATCATTTCTTGGTTTCTTGGTTTGCTAAAAGCTGGCTGTTATTTCTACTGTGGTACAGTGTAAAATATTGGTCTGTTGTTGTTTTAGTGTGACTAATGAAGTTCAAGAAATGCTAAATATAAAAGTGATTTCATATTTCACTCCTTGTACATTTACCAGTAGTTCTTACCTATCCATATAATTCTATTACCTAAAGTTTAGTAAGATGTGGAAAATAAATTTCTGTGGCCTTTGTCTTAGCCATTGAATCAATCTGTATTTCTGATAACTGCTTAGTTGTAGCAGATATAATTGGCCATTGAGTATCAATAAGGAAGGTTGTCTCTAACAAAACAATTACATTGGTGTCATGGAAGGATAATGTTTTTTCTAGATATTGTAGGAGTTTCCTGCTTTAATACATGGTGGTATTTGAACATATCGCTGGTAAAACAAGTGAATTTGTCGACAGTATTATTACCTTTGTATATGTATGCTTTGTCAGTCAGTAGTTCCCTCGCACGGATTTGATAATTTTCCAAGTTGGGTTGATGATGTAGAATGTCAGAACTTTTAGACTTTAGCCTGTTACTTTCCTGTACAGATCTTATTTTCAATTTTTGAATTCTTACAAAAGTAATCTTAGGTTCCCATAAAGCATGCTCATTAAGATAGTGTTGTATAATATAAAAATTGCATGTATCTTTTAAACATTTCTGTGGAATATTTCATGAGAAAACTTGCATTTGAAACAGTGATAAAATAGTGTGTAAATGTGGAATAAAGTAAAGTGATGTAGATATTTCATGTTACTAACCATGCTGTCCATCAGAGGCAGTGTCAATGGAATATTATTTACTAAACATTACATACCATACAAGATGTGTTTAACAAGTTTCATGACTTAAGTATGATCTTTTCATTATCAAAATAGCAACAGAATCATATATAAATGAACTTATTATTGATAAAAGCCATAGTTTCTAAATTCAATCTGTTGGATCATCTTTACGTAACAGTCTTCTGATGATGCGTGTTTTTGTCTAGCATCTCCCGAGAGAATTCATGATGTTATGACTGCAGTGTTGTGTCACATTTTACTGCTTTGGAGCTTCTTGATATTTATATTGTTGCATACCAATGTCCCAAAATATGTTTTAAAGAAACAAAAAGAAAAAAAAAAAAAAAAAAGAACTTCACCATTTTTGATGGAATTGTAAGAAAGTATGGACACATGTGCTGATTCTCACCATGATCTGATTTATATTTGATGATCATTAGTGTTATGATTGTTATGTATTGTACTCAAGCCATGCCTAAAATGTAGTTTTTATCCTTTTTCAGAAATCATGGTAAATATGGGATATAGCAGAAAAGATATAGAAGACTCCATAACAAATCAGAAGTATGATGACATCCAAGCTACTTATTTACTTCTGGGACGCCGCTCCTCTGATGTAAGTCTAAAGTTCTATTCCCTCACTACATATTTACTTCTGGGACGCCGCCCCTCTGATGTAAGTCTAAAGTTCTATTCCCTAACTACATATTTATATCTGGGACGCCGCCCCTCTGATGTAAGTCTAAAGTTCTGTCCCCTCACTACATATTTATATCTGGGACGCCGCTCCTCTGATGTAAGTCCAAAGTTCTGTCCCCTCACTACATATTTACTTCTGGGATGCCGCCCCTCTGATGTAAGTCTAAAGTTCTGTCCCCTCACTACATATTTATATCTGGGACGCCCTCCCCCTCTGATGTAAGTCTAAAGTTCTATTCCCTCACTACATATTTATATCTGGGACGCCCTCCCCCTCTGATGTAAGTCTAAAGTTCTGTCCCCTCACTACATATTTATATCTGGGACGCCGCTCCTCTGATGTAAGTCCAAAGTTCTGTCCCCTCACTACATATTTACTTCTGGGACGCCGCCCCTCTGATGTAAGTCTAAAGTTCTGTTCCCTCAATACATATTTACTTCTTGGGTGCTGCTCTGTTTGTCTAAAGTGTGGTTACTACACATGTTAGTACTGTTGTTTTCTGTAATTACTTACAATTACTTTTAATTATTTTTCTAATGGTGGTTAATAGTTTCAAAAACTGTGAAGTTAAAAAAAATAAGCGAAGATGATATGATTGTTAAATCATTAACTATGAGCTGTTTTACCCAAAAACGAAGATTATCAGTTATCCACTATGTTTATCATTACTTGATGTCTATTTACAGTTGGAGGGAAGTGATCGGTCTGGGAGTAGCCAATCCTTGCGCCATTTACCATTATCATCATCCAATCGACCTCATAGTGAAAATACTGCAAACAATAACACTTCTCCCAACAAAGTGACACGCAGTCAGTCTGCCACGACGAGTTCCGGCCAGGGTCGCAGACGATACAGTCAAGGTGCAGAAAATAATGGTAGTATCCGACGTACGTGTTGTACACACTGGTAGAGTATTATGTGCTGTGTATCTTGTGTCATACAATTCAATGCAACTTGGTTTTGCACAGTCAGTGTTCTTGCATTGATGTGCAACTTTCATAACCATTCAGGGGATGCTGAATGTGTTAAGTCAATAAAAGGCATTGTGATCAAGTTATGTGCTGTGATTAAATGTAGAAAGATGTTGGCATGTCTATTTTTGTTTGTTATTTATATACTTGTTTTTTATTATTTAAGTCAATCATAAAAGAAACCAGAACCCTATATTGAGTTTTTCCCAGGCATGCTCCATTAAATCATCCAGATTGCTGAATCATCTCATTGCATGTCATTTTCTTTATTCAAAATTGAACGAATTTTCATAAAAATGTGTCAGATTTTTGTCTTAATTCCTGTGACGATACATTGACTCTATGACATAACAGACACAGAATTATGAAGTAATCTTTCATATTTATAGGCACAGCAGGACCTACAAGTTCACAGTCCTCGTCTCATTCACGACGACAGAATGCGATAGACACATCAACGACGAAGGAGAACATCATATCAGGGAGAAAAACACCATCAGGAAGTTCCTCCATGGAGTCTCCCAAGGTTGGCGTAAGTAGCAAACAAGGAGTTCAGGACATATTTTACTTCATAGCTTTGTAAGATAGGGACAAGGAATAAGGCGTTTCAATGCCATTTCTACTGGGCTATTCCCTTTGAAGTGCTTTGTTTACAATTTACTTCATTCTTGGATGTTTGGGAAAATGAAGTATTTCATGTTATTCCAGTCAATAAATCAGGCAAATAGAACGATATCTTTTCTGTCTCTGATAATTTGGGAAGTATGATGCACGATACTGTCATGGGGTGCATTTTGTAATCAGACTCCATAAAAAGCTTGGAAAGCATGAAGCATGATACTGTCATGGAATGCTTTTTGTAATCAGACTCCATGATAAGCTTGGAAAGCATGATGCATGATACTGTCTTGGGGTGCTTTTTGTAATCGGGCTCTGCTGTCCTTTTGTCACACTGCAACATTTGTTTGTCATTATAAGATGATATGGGAAATGTAATGTCCAGTATATGGTAAATGTTTACACTAATTGGATGGACTCATTCTTGTATAATTTATGCAATGTTTCTTAAACTCCGGCCTTTAATAATCTGTATAGTGTATGTATACTAATCGGATGAGAGGAAATCCTACCCACTTAAATCTGAGAACTGTAAAGAGGGGAATGATATACAGCATTTCTGTCGAACAACTATTGCCTCTCTGTATCAACACAATATGTCAAACCTGCCTGTTATATTGTAAATTTTTGAAGATATTAGAAAGAAAACCAAAATGAGTAGATTTCACACTTTCTGCTTTGACTGGACTGTATTGAAATATCTGACAGTGTGGTGTAAAACACTCAGGTCTGTACCCTCAAGGTCAAAGGTCAGATAAGGCTTGTTTGGCTTGTTGTATAAATGGCTGAGTCTAAACCGTTGAAAAAGATGAATTTTTCTAGACCAGAGATTGTCAGAAAACATTCTCAGATTGGTACTGCATATGTCATTTGATCAAAGGTCAACATATGGGTCAAAGGTCTACATATTAAAACTGATGTTGGAATGGTAACAGTGGGAGTCTAGCCATAAGTCATTTCAATGGTTTTATGTACATACCTGCTGACTAGGTGAACTTAATTAGTCATTGGATGTTTTTATCAGGGGAAGCTTGTATTTTTAAGGCCTGTTTCATCCAAAAACCCATCAAATATTGTACATGGAATTATGTTGATTGTTCTGGTTAAAGTGTACGTATGTGAATGACATTTACAGTGATGTGATGGGTTATAACTACAATGGTACTATGCATGCAGCATGTGTCATTATTAAATATTGTTTGAACACACCTGTTTAATTACTGATTTGCATGGCTTGTCAGCTGTCACCTCTGTAATAAATATCACTAATCTATTAGTCTGAACCAAGATGCGACATATTAACAGTTTACTGCTAAAGTGAAAACATTATGTTGATTTGATTGTGAAAGCTTTAAGATATATAGAGAAAGATGGAAGATAGCAAATATTTTGATAGTAAAACATTGAAGATTATAAATATTTAATGTTCAAGGCATCATTTTTAAATGTTTTTTTGATCGACTATACCATGGTTTGTAATATGTGTTATTAATACTATCAAACTAGATTTTGATTTCTGAAAAAGAAAATGAATTGTGCACAAAGAGAATTTTACATGATGTAGGAATGAACAAATATGTTTGCTTGCTGAACTGAATTCAAAGTTTTAAAAAAACTTAATTAAGCAGCTACTAACCCTCACTTAACACTTTAGACACTATGCTTGATTGGAATTTTATCATTTTCAGAGGAGTGCAATTACCCGAGACAGTTACAAGGGTCCAAAGGTGAAGAAAATTATGTATCTCGCGATTCTCATCATGTCACTTCTCTGCTCTCTAGATCTCTTACAAATATTTTACCTGTATACAGAACTTTGTCAGAATGGGGTCTTGACCTAGATTTCTTGATTGTGATGCACCAGTATATAGTCGATCTATTCACTAACAACATATCCATTAGAGAAAAAATGATGATAAACGGACCTCAGATATAAATAGATTTGTTTTGTTCTCTGTCCTTAACAAATTATGTTAAAATAGTTCTGTTTTCTTTAAGAACGAGATATATTATAGATTATTCAATGTACTTGCTAATCTTGCACTGAAAAACATGATCATACCTTCATATTTGTCCTGAGAATTTCATTTTTAAAAAATGGGGTTTTTTATTGCAAATTTAAAAGACAAGTTAAGGAAATAGCTGCCTGGAGAATTAATCAAATTCTTGTTTTAGCGACGAGTGTGCTGTTTATTGAATATAACTACAGGAAAATAGATGTTTATATAAAACACCCATCACTCTGTATAGGTCTGAAACTTCAACAGCTAAGCATACAGTAACTATGTTTAAAATAAAGTACCAAACTGTAATGTTGATCAGCAGGTATAAAGTTTGAACAGTTATTAGTCCCCTAGAAGAGAGAATGGGGTGTAATTATTTTATAAAGCAGTATCTAGCTAGACTTGACCAGTTGTGGGTTGTGTTTGATTGGCATGGATTGTTAAGATGACCTTGGCATGGGTATGTAATCCTCTCCCTAGTTTATATTGCATGTCTGTCACCAAAGTTTGAACATTTTACCCTGATTCTAACTGTTTTCATTTTCTGATTCTTATCTGGTAATTAACAGTGTGAAAAGTACACTGATAAATTAGAAATCCAAATTTTGTCTGTGATTTTAAGATTTATTGATGGTATATTTACTGCCATTCTGTTGTCAGCTTCAAGCCAAATGTATAGAAAGTATATAGCAAACTGCTTAATTCAGGTGTTTTCTATCAGCTTCTGGCCAATATCTTAGAAAAAATTGCTATAAACTGCTTAATTTGGATGTTTTTTGTCATTATATAAATTTATGAAAAGTAGAAAGTCTATAACCAAATGTTCAAGTGCCGCAACAATGATAAAATCTATTTCCTTATAAGTTGGATTCAAGATTTGTTATCAGTGTGATAATTAGTAGAAAACGCTACAGAGGGAATCGGTTAACAGATAACACTGACATTCGTTTTTGTCACACTTTGTAATCCTTTTTTGTGATTGTTTCTGATTTTATTTGGCATGAACAGTTTTTTTCATCATTTCAAATTGTCCATTCAGAAGCAATCTGATTTTTGCATTAGATTTTTTTCTCTTAAAATCTGATTCTAAAAATCTGGTTATACAACATGAATATTGTTCCTCCACAGATCAGTTCTTCTACTCCAACTCGGGCTACTATGCCAAAGAAACTCAGTGGATCATCTTCTTCATCAACCCCCAAGAACAGTGTCATCAGCAGCATTCCGCGTCGGACAGGTCGCAGCGAAACCTTTAGTCCAGGCGACGCCCGTGTTCAGACCCCTGCTGAGAAAACCCGCGCTACTAATGGTCAGGATGTTAGGAGGTATGCATAAAAGGTGTCTGGACTAAACAAGGATATCCATACAAGTATCTGTAGGGTTGGGCTATAAAGCCAGAACAGTGATACCCACACTGGGGTCTTGGTTTGGCCATATACCAAAATCTAAACAAGGATATCCATACGGGTGTCCAGAGGTTAGCCCATAACCTATGTAAATATTCATTCAAATGTCCAGTAGGTTGGCCCATACATGGAAACCTGAACAGGGATACATTTACAGAAAACATAGATCCATTGACAAGGGGAAGTGGATAGTCAGCCAGGCGGGAAGTGGAATGTCATAGCAAGTACAATTCAAGAAATGTAGAGGCAAACATCTTAAGGATATCGCTTGAGTGAACCATTAAGGTTATATATAAAATGGGTGATTCAGGTATAAATTTAGAAGCTAATCATTAAGGATATATCTAGAATGGGTGATTCAGGTATAAATTTAGAGGCTAATCATTAAGGATATATCTAGAATGGGTGATTCAGGTATAAATTTAGAGGCTAATCATTAAGGATATATCTAGAATGGGTGATTCAGGTATAAATTTAGAGGCTAATCATTAAGGATATGTCTAGAATGGGTGATTCAGGTATAAATTTAAAAGCTAATCATTAAGGATATATCTAGAATGGGTGATTCAGGTATAAATTTAGAGGCTAATCATTAAGGTTATATCTAGAATGGATGATTCAGGTATAAATTTAGAAGCTAATCATTAAGGTTATATCTAGAATGGGTGATTCAGGTATAAATTTAGAAGCTAATCATTAAGGTTATATCTAGAATGGGTGATTCAGGTATAAATTTAGAAGCTAATCATTAAGGATATATCTAGAATGGGTGATTCAGGTATAAATTTAGAGGCTAATCATTAAGGATATGTCTAGAATGGATGATTCAGGTATAAATTTAGAAGCTAATCATTAAGGTTATATCTAGAATGGGTGATTCAGGTATAAATTTAGAGGCTAATCATTAAGGTTATATCTAGAATGGGTGATTCAGGTATAAATTTAGAGGCTAATCATTAAGGATAAATTGAGAGGGCGACCAGATATAAATCTCGTCAATGAACAATTCACGGACATTGAGGAAGTGATAAATCAAAAGGGGGTCAGTTAAAGGATAATTTTGAGATCACATTGTCTATTATCTTGTCAGCAGATGCTAATATATCATAAGTGTACTTTTCTTACACATAATAAACTGCTAAATGTATGTGTTTGGTATCATAAAAAGACCACCCTTTTTTTCTCTATTGTGTGTTGGGGTAGAGGAACATTTGTATTCATATTTCAGCTGAAATCAATATATTCAACAATTTTCAGCCCACCATCATCAGATGGACAGCTATGGCCCTACGTCTGTCGTTCGTCAATCTGTAAACAATATTTGTTATTACTTTTTCTGGAGAAGTGCTGGATGGATCTTTTTTTAATTTTGTATGTAGACTTTCTTTGGTCGCTAGTTGTGCCCATTTGATTTTGGGACAGATCATAAAAATAAAATGGCCAACAGGTGGCCATCTTTGATTTGCCTAGTAAAGATTATTATCCCTATTAATTAAGAAGTACAGAATGGATCTCTCTCCAATTTCATATGTACATTCCTTTTGGTCTCTGAGAAAAAATGGCTTCCATGTGACTGGTTTGGATTTGGCAGGTAAAGATTATCATCGCTATTTCTGCAAAGGAATGTTTAAATTTCTTATCATTAAAAGCAAAAACAGAGAAGAGAAAAGAAGGAAAAAGATCCAACTTTCAAAGAGCAAATATAGATCAAACCATGATGGGCGCCAAGATCCCCCTGGGATCTCTTGTAAAGTGGTGTGAAAACCTAGAAAGTTGTCTATATAAATACTAATGGGATGGTTTATCTGTGTAGCATGCTAATTAATCCCCAACATGTATTCATCACATAGTGGGTAATAACTCTCTGTTTTCTCCATGTAGTCAACCAACAGAACCTAGGTAAATACTTTTCAGTGTTAGATGTCTTGTGCCTGACTTCTGTAGACCAAACGAATGTTTTTATGTTACAAATTATATTTAAGATTTTTAGTTGAATGATTCAATTTGCTATGTTCTGAAGTATATATACACTTCTTGCCTTCTTTGAATGGATGACTTTTTTGGCTTGTTCAGAAGTTTTCTTTGTGTGTCTTTTTTGGTTTTTTTTTTTTTTCCTCCTTTTTTTTCTCAAACCTTTTTGACATTCTTCTACACAGTATGATTTTATGCACTTTTTCTGGTAGATTACAGCAAGTTAACAGTAGAATACCAAGGAATGTTTCTGTAGACTAGGCAACAGGGGCGGAGACCAGACTACCAAATGGTGGACAGCTATTGCAAAACCTGGCAGATTTTGTTCGCATGTATATTTCCTAAAGCTTTTACACAACATTAGATAATCGAGGCAATGTCCCAAAACATGAAAGTTGTATAGGTCATCTGACCCGAAAGGTCATGATGACCTATAGTCATCGTGCTTGTCCGTTTTTGTCAGCCGTGCATAAACTTTTGACATTTCAAACTTCTCAAGTTCAACCAGTAGGATTGAGCCCAAACTTGCATGAAATGATCCTGAGATGGTCCTTACCAAGTGTTGTTATTTTTCGGGTATGTCTGAAATCCAAGATGGCTGCCATTTTGAAAAAACATTTAAAACTTCTTCTCCAGTTCCATTGGTGTCATTAAGCTAAATGTTGGTGGGAATGTTAAGGAAAGGTAGCCAACATAGTGGTTTTTTTTTTTCAACCATGTCAAAACTTTGATATGGCAGCCAGGGATGCCTTTTTGTAACATGGTTGTGCAATCATGGTTTTCCTGTGTGACACCTTTTTCAATCTACTTCTCAGGTTTCACCAATTGGAGTGATCTCCAACTTTACTGTCAAATAATAGGTAACACTTGTTACAGTTACCTATTCCTCACCAAAACTACCATCTGCATTATGGAAAACAGCTTCATACAAATTAGAAAAAATAACCCTTCTCCCTCCTGGAAGTTTTTGTGGTCAGATGACTGTTAAGACCTGTGGGCCTCTTGTTAGGAATACTTCTGGTGTTCTGGCTGATATTTCAAACCTGCTGCATTCCGCCCCTGTGTATTATCAGAACGATTTTTGTTAGGTTCTTATTGTAGTCTAAGCTTTTGTGAAACAATTGCAGGAAAAGTGTGCTAGTTTATTACTAGTGGTTTGGATGAGCTAAGTGTGGATGTGGAATGCTGGAACAGTTGTTGTATGTACTTCTTCATGACGTTGAATGTTGAGATTGACTTGTTGTGTGTGCATGTTGTTTCAGCCCTATGACCAATTCTACAACCCCTTCATCATCAGAAGTACCTTCAGTCAGACCCAAAGGGCATGGCCATGTCAAATCTGCAAGTTTAAGTCAGTCTCAAACTTCGCGGGTTACAGACTTGCCTCCCTTAGATGGTGAATTTCGGCCAACGTGAGTACAGAAAAGGTTTCATCGCGATAGCTTCACTGCTTTTTTTCTGTAAAGAAAAATCACCTCATGGTATATCCTGTCATTGAAAACTTTAAACATATTGAAGAAAGACACTTTGAAAAATCCTAGAGAATTCAAACGAATGCTAAAACTTGCTCAGTATTCTCCCTATGTTACTAATGTAGATCCTTTGAACAGGAATTAAAATATTGTATGCACCTGCTCATGAATGAGGGCCCATCTAATACCTCTGTAGATTTAACCAGTATCTCAATCATATAACTTTTGAATGGAGCCAACTATATTTTCCTTATTGTGTATAACTATTGTTTTCTGCATTGTTATATATCTCTACTGAACTAATTCTCTTCTATATATTCTGCTCTATTTCAAATTTTCAATTTATTTATGCATTTTATGTATTTTGTTGGGTTTGGTGTACATAATTTTGCTTTGATCAAGAAACTAAGATTTTATTGTATCTGGCTTTGAACTAACATATAAACTTGAAATACAAGTAATAGCTGTTAGAAACATTTGTTACATGTGTTAATGTTAGTAGTTGGCTGCATAAATATTAAAACTACATCATCTGTTAGTATAATACCCTAGTTACATTATCAACAGGCTACATCATCTGTTAGTATAATACCCTAGTTACATTATCAACAGGCTACATCATCTGTTAGTATAATACCCTAGTTACATTACCAGCAGGCTACATCATCTGTTAGTATAATACACTAGTTACATTACCAACAGTCTACATCATCTGTTAGTATAATACACTAGTTACATTATCAACAGTCTACATTATCAACAGTCTACATCATCTGTTAGTATAATACACTAGTTACATTATCAACAGACTACATCATCTGTTAGTATAATACCCTAGTTACATTATCAACAGACTACATCATCTGTTAGTATAATACACTAGTTACATTATCAACAGTCTACATCATCTGTTAGTATAATACCCTAGTTACATTATCAACAGTCTACATCATCTGTTAGTATACAATACCACTAGTACATTACATTATCATACAGGCTACTAGTATAATACCCTAGTTACATTATCAACAGTCTACATCATCTGTTAGTATGATACACTAGTTACATTATCAACAGGCTACATCATCTGTTAGTATAATACCCTAGTTACATTATCAACAGTCTACATTATCAACAGTCTACATCATCTGTTAGTATGATACACTAGTTACATTATCAACAGGCTACATCATCTGTTAGTATAATACCCTAGTTACATTATCAACAGTCTACATCATCTACATCATCTGTTAGTATAATACACTAGTTACATTATCAACAGCTACATCATCTGTTAGTATAATACACTAGTTACATTATCAACAGTCTACATTATCAACAGGCTACATCATCTATTAGTATGATACACTAGTTACATTATCAACAGGCTACATCATCTGTTAGTACATCTAGTTACATTATCAACAGACTACATCATCTTCTTTCAAAGCAAAAAGAAATGTAAACGGATGATCAGACAATTTATTTGAATTTCAATTATTGAATTTTGAATCTATTTAAGATATGAAACTTTTTGTATATGGAAAATCTATTCCTAACATTTCACGCAATTGATATTATTGAACTTTGTGACATTATAGAAATCATTTGTTTGTTTTCTATTTAATGACTGGTAAATTAGTAGGTTTTAAAAATTGCCTTGCTTTGTTGATGAATTGTTGGTAATTATTACATCTCTTCATTTTTTTTAGAAAAACTTTCATGCAGAAATCATTTAAATGAAAATGAAAACTTCAATAAAAAAAAGATTATAGATGCCAACAAGGGATAACTTTAAATATACATTTTCCTGTCTGCAGAACTGCTCCAGGTAAAACCTCCACTGTGCCTGTCTCCCCCGCTGCTCCTAAAAGCTCCCTATATCGTAACACAGCCAGCAGGAATACATTCCATGGTGGGCCTATTCGGGACAGACGGCAGCGTCAATATAATGGGCCTGACGGTCTTCCGTCTCATTCTCAGGATACCTCTGCCATGGGCCAGGCAGGCCGTATGTCTTTCTTAAATAAGCTTACATCAAAATTTAGCAGAAGGTAAGTTCCTCTCTACACTTGTTGTATAATGTGGTATTATATTTTAATGGTAAACGTTTCTCCCAATTACAAAATCATTGCTTATTTCTTAAAATATATGATGAAAGAAATAGAAATTTGACTCATTTGGAATTAATATGACCAAGATTGTCCATGTAAAGGCAGAGTTATCTCCCTTACTCTTTGTGGTGCTGTACATCTTTGTGATGGGCGATGTGTCATGTTTTGCTTGAGTGTATTAGTAGCAGGAAGTTGCATGATCACATGGCTATGCAAGTCACGTATGTAACTATTTCCAATGAGTTTGTGTTCATTGATGATACCACTACACACATGTGATATCTCCTACTATTGCTGGAGTCTCTCGGGATTCTCTCAGTATCTTGACTGATCCAGATATTCTTATTTCTCAAATTATTTTGATTTTCTTTTGTTTTTTAGAGAATTCATACCAGAAAACAATAGTCAGGGTCGGGACATGAAAAAAAGGTATTTCAGATAAGCTCTCACATGTATGTTTTATTTGGGAAATACCACACATTATTCATAACATTGAAAGTAACTTCCACAAAGTTGAGACCTTTTTTCAGAATTACACACAGGTAAGATGAGTGTTCAAAGAGAATTGAAGATCACTTAATGTTTGTTTACTATTGGTCTCGAATAGCCACTCAATAACAGCAGGCGCAAATTGGGAGTTACAGAAAATGATCGTGACGGAGTAGGAAAGTGCCTTGAGTTGTTAAAAACCTGACAAGCTGTAAATGTGATTGAGTTAAAAGGAGATATCACATGTATGTACATGGTAATGATATGGAATTTTGTTAAATACATACATGTTTGTCTCAAAATCAATTGAAATTTGTCCAGCCATCAGCAAAAGATAATCATAAAGGAACATATTGACATTTCAGTACATATTCAATATTTCATGATTGAAAAAGTATTTGTGCAAGATATTTTGAAACGGTTTTAACAAGAGGGTGATTCCTGCTTCTGTGTGACTCCTTTGCCCTTCTGGGGCTGCCTCTGCTGGTTCCTGTAACATCTGCTGTCTCTGTTTCCTACTCTACATTCTGTTTCAGGTGTAGTGCCTTGTTGTGTCTATGAAATATATTGGATCCTGTAGTGAAGCTTTAGGTGTGGTGTTAATTCCTGGTAACAGTGGAATATCTAATGACAAGGAAGGTCTTGCTGTAAACTAAATTATAATGACAAGAATTAGAGATAGAAAATATAGATGAAAACCCAAGTATTTCAAATCAAATGTTATCAATATTCTTTCCACTATCAAAGACAAATCTCTGTAGTTTATGTAGTCTAGAACCACTAGAGGGCAGCAGTATAGCTCATGTAGTCTAGAACCACTAGAGGGCAGCAGTATAGTTTATGTAGTCTAGAACCACTAGAGGGCAGCAGTATAGTTTATGTAGTCTATAACCACTAGAGGGCAGCAGTATAGTTTATGTAGTCTATAACCACTAGAGGGCAGCAGTATAGTTTTATGTAGTCTATAACCACTAGAGGGCAGCAGTATAGTTTATGTAGTCTAGAACCACTAGAGGGCAGCAGTATAGTTTATGTAGTCTAGAACCACTAGAGGGCAGCAGTATAGTTTATGTAGTCTAGAACCACTAGAGGGCAGTAGTATAGTTTATGTAGTCTAGAACCACTAGAGGGCAGCAGTATAGTTTATGTAGTCTATAACCAATAGAGGGCACTAGTATAGTTTATGTAGTCTAGAACCACTAGAGGGCAGCAGTATAGTTTATGTAGTCTAGAACCACTAGAGGGCAGTAGTATAGTTTATGTAGTCTATAACCACTAGAGGGCAGCAGTATAGCTTATGTAGTCTAGAACCACTAGAGGGCAGCAGTATAGTTTATGTAGTCTATAACCACTAGAGGGCAGCAGTATAGCTTATGTAGTCTGGAACCACTAGAGGGCAGTAGTATAGTTTATGTAGTCTAGAACCACTAGAGGGCAGCAGTATAGCTCATGTAGTCTAGAACCACTAGAGGGCAGCAGTATAGCTTATGTAGTCTAGAACCACTAGAGGGCAGCAGTATAGCTTATGAAATCTGGAACCACTAGAGGACAGAATTATAATTGACATTATCTGTGATAACAAGAGGGCAGTAGTATAGCAAATGTATGATATGACCACAGGAGGGTAGTAGTATAGCTAATATGGTCTTTGACCACTAGTGGGCAGTAAATAGCTAATGTACTTATGAGCGCTGAAGGAGAACAGTATTACTGATATTATTTGTAACCATTTTCCACTGACACTGTGAATTAACACGTGTATTTAGTTGCCGTGTATTTAGTTATTGACTATCTTACTTTATATTGAAATGTATATACATATATAAGTGAAATATTGTGTATCTTCTACAAGCTACAGTAAAGTGTAAATTACAGGTAAAGGGCTGATAACCCATCTCACTTGAAATCTAGCATCTGCCTTGTGTAGAATGAATCTATTGATTTGTAGTTGTTTTTGAGTGAATTCCTCTAGATTTAGTAATGTTAAACCCCTAAAGTTGATCCTAAGGGTCACTTAATTGACTCTAAAAATTTCATCCTAGGTATAACACTTCATTGTCTCCATCTGAATCATCTCAACTGTCCCGATTGCAAGGGTAAGTTTACATCAGGTTTTAATCTCAGGATTTGGCTAGTATTAGAAATTAAAAAAAAAAAAAAAAAAAACAGCAATTTTGGTAATATGAATATAAAGGCTTGAGTGGTGGGGAAATCATCATATTGATAAACATACATATATGTAACAGTAATTTTCATTTTACTGTAGTGAAATATAAGCCTTTATTAATTAACATGGACTGTTTTATCACTATTAATATACTGGTAACTTTGTAGTATTTTACTATGTTGCGGGGAATATTTAACTAACTTTTCCCTTTTCATGCTGGCTGCCCTTCTTTACATGCGAGTTACTGTAATGACCAGGGCTGTGTTAATGGTATTAACATGATACTTTTGAATGATGGCTCCTGACATTTGTGAGTAAAGGCAATTCAGGTCTTCAGACAGACCAGACATTTACGGTGGAATGGGTAGCAGTCAGTACGGCACGAATGTAAAGGAGTATAATGTAACAATCAATAAGCTTTCAAAAAAACAAATTCATTATTAAAGTTTAATTCTTGTTTTTTGTGTTTTCAGTTATAATTGATTATCTGTTCTGATATTTGAATTGTTCAGTACTCTTTTACACTCTGTTGAGTCCTCTGTGATATAAGTGTGGAGCAGTGACATTCAAACTTCAGCAGTCAGCACTGAAATTCTAATGATATGCATGATTGTTACCGAGTTGGTTTTCTGGTGTTTGGGTATGTGGGGTATTTTGGTATACACTTGCTTAGTTGACATCACCCAGCTCTTTGTCATCATATATCACTATTAACCATGAGATTTTATGTAACCTGCTCTCTAAATGCATGTTCCGTTTTCCTGTGTTAAACATGCATGATTGCTTTGTTAAAGACATGAAATGGTTTACATGTAGGTGGATGGTTGTAGGTAAACATGAAAAGGACAGCAATTGCATGCGTCATGTGTCCAGGACAGCAGTAGTCCTTGTGTGTCCCTTCATTGGTTGACTTCACTTCCACCTGAAAAGTTGCCATATCGCCCTAATAATATGTTTCTATTCACAACAAAACTTTGTTAAAACACGAATGAAGGGTGATAATGCAACATACTTTGTAATTTATAGAGATATATTGAGGTTATATGCAACTTTTCAATTATTTTCTGTGAAGGGGAATGAGATATTTAATATTGCCACTTCTAGCACAACTTCAGTAAACCCTACATTATTGAGATATATTTCAAATTGTACATTATCAAATTGGAAGTACCATATATGAATTAAATTCATGCCAAACTTGATGGATTTATTATCTGAAAAATTGTTATGATGATAGGGTTTACGTAGAGCATGACTGACTGCTATCACAGGGACCACCGTAAACTTACTAATAATTCTAAACCACAGCTCTGTGTCAGGAGGGACAGCCAATAATATGCTTTCCAACTTGATTTTAATTTTCAGCAAATTGTTCCGCAGGTCAGTCAATGAGGGGCGTGAAGGTGACCCAATCAAGCCAAGGTCGCTGCGTTTCACATGGAGCATGAAAACGACCAGTTCAATGGATCCCAACGAGATGATGAAGGAGATCCGCAAAGTATTAGATGCTAACAACTGTGACTATGAACAAAGGGAGAAGTTCCTCCTGTTATGTGTCCATGGCGACCCCAACACAGATAGCCTAGTGCAATGGGAGATGGAAGTTTGTAAATTGCCAAGACTCTCCTTGAATGGAGTTCGTTTCAAACGGATTTCAGGAACTTCCATAGGATTTAAAAACATTGCATCTAAAATAGCAAATGAGTTGAAACTTTGATGTAAGGCCAAGGGCTGCAAGAACGGACAAGTAGGTTACCCTGGAGTGGAGGCAGGTTGTGTGGTGTCCTTATTAACCTAAACAGCTAATTAACCCAAGGTTCACCTATAGGAACCACAGAAGCTGTAAAGGAAATAATGTCCGATGCTGGGCCAGTACTTGAAGGAAGGACAGATACAGTAGCCTCCTCCTAATCAATCACATGTAACATTATCCCCTCTCCCCACATGTATAATTTTTGTACAATGTTAATATTGTAAAAAGGTCACTGTAATATAGCTAAATTAGACACCCAAAGGCAAGACCAGGGTTTGAAATTGTACACATGTATGAAATGAGAAAGAGGATATCATGAATGTGCTTTAATGTACTAAATGCAGATGAAGTGATGAGTGTTGTTACAAGTGCATTTCTCCTGCTAGTCCACATGCTGTCCACATCTTTCTCCTCCTCTCCCCACTTTCTGTCTCTGTTATCTTTTTAAAGGTGCAATCCTAGCTCTGATGGCGGGGAGACTGCTATTACATTTTGCCTGCACTTGTTAAACATCTACGTAGTGTTATAGAAGTTTAGAATTATTTTACAAAGAAGAAATGGCCACCTGAGTTGTATCATTCATTTGTAGGAACCATTTGGAGGTTTGGACTCAGTGAGCTGTGAACCGTTGTTATTGCGTCAGTGTACCAGGTATGATCAAACTTGCTACTGAATGTTCCCTTCGTGTTCCTCTTTGACTGTGATACTATGAACACAACCCTGTGTGTTTATGAACATCTTAATACTTTGCTTTGTGAATGAAGCAACTCAGTGTGTTGAACAAGATGCAAAAATCTTACGATAATGAACAATGTACATAATAAACCTAAGGGCATTTGATAGGTGCCAATGAAATTAATGAAAAAGTGTGTCAAAGATGTTACTGATGTAGAAAATTATTTGTAATAAATAACTTGTGTTATTCAATAACTGCTCGCTATAACCGAACATTTATTTCTTGTTCACAAACAACAAATTACAATAAACCATCGTAATGTAACCTAAAGTTGTCATGATGATGTTGTTTTGGTAGTTAAACAGTATATTAAACAGATCAATAATTGAAGGTGAAATGTGAACCCTTCAGTGTAAGAGTATTTTAATAGAGATTTTGTTTAGAATTCCTTTCCAACTGATTTACTGAGGTTGGTATATAATAAGAACAGTAAAGGACACTCTGCTCTGGCTATCTGACAGCAGACCTATGGTGCTTCAGATTTATAAATCACAATAGAAAATGAAATTTTATCCTGCTTTGGTTTTGTCAGCAGCTTATCGGTGCTTTATTTTTATAAATGACAAATTACGGTAGAACATGAAATATTGCCCTGCTTTGGTTTTGTCTGCAGACTAATAGTTCTTTTGAATTATGAATCACACACTAGAAAGTGAAATTTTACTTTGCTTTAGTTTTCTCTGCAGACATGCAATGTTTGACTGGCACCTCACTTACAACACCTTAGTGGTATGACTGGGTCAAATGTCCTACTGACACACGATTGTTATGTAGGTGTTAAGACGTTAGATATAAGATTTAACATTGAAATTTTTTATTGGTTACTTGTCTAAACTTCCGAAAAAATGAATAAGACACCAGTAAATCATTCTTTTAAGGTTAATCTGCATTGATAAGAAGTATGGTTAGTGTTCTAAAATGTTTTAGGTGGCAGATCAAAATTAGACACTCTAAAGGATTTTTTTTAAAAATAAGTAAATGTGCTTTGAATGAAGAAATACTGGGGTATTACTGGTGTGTGTTACACGGTCGTGATATTGTCCACTGGACAGCAGTTATGCACTTGTTTCTGTATGATCTCAGATATCATCTTGCCTTGGTCTCTATCTTCTTCATCACCATTGATTCCTGACACTCCAGATATGTCTGCTGATGAGAACTAATCTGCCATTAAGTCATCCTCATAATTTCACTGGGTATGCAAGTTTGGATTTAATGTGTGTTAAACATGGAATTTGCTTGTTGATCAACTTGCTCGTTGTCCATACATGTACAGCGTTTTGTTCAGTTTTATCTAATTTCCCTCAACAGTCCTAGACAGTAGTAAATCTATACTGAAAGCTCGGCAGGAATTTTCTTGTACTTATTGTAGCACAACACCAGTTGCTTAATTGTGCTACAAATGGATGCATTCAGATTGTTTGATCTCTAAATTTAGTGAGGGAATGATAAAACTTGTCATTCTACACACATAGAAAACTTTGAAATTTAGATATTTGTTGGAGCCCTGGTTGATTATGCAGCAGATCGGTCATTACTAACATTCCTACCATTCTGATCAATCATCTGTAACAACTTCTTCTTCCTGTCAGCTTTTCTAAAATAGAGAAATAGTGCAAGAATATTTCAAAGTTGAAACCATAGTTTAGCCATGTCCTGTTTTTGCCTTTAAAGAGTAGATACTAAAAATATATGATGTAACTCTTCAGGAATCAAAATTTGTCAGTTCAGTATTCACATCTTACGGCAAAAATTAGACAAAATCCTGTGATATGGTTGGTTGGCTATAAATATGCACATGTATGACTTCCGTGTGAACTACATTATCATGGTTATTCACTAGGTTTAAGTGGGATGTTTCATTGTGACAAAATACCTAGTTGGAATTTGTATGAGAGCAGATACCTGCCTCGCAGAGAGCAGATGTGGAAAAGCGAGTAACTAAACCACTGAATCATGTTGATGAAAAGTCCGGCTTGTCTGAGAGGAAGGGTGAATGACCAGCTATAAAACAATAATGATAAAGCAGTCTTGGTGTTACAAATGATGCGATGATTTCAGTGGTAAATACAGACCATAAAAACCTGACTTGTTGGCCAACTGATTAAAAGTGAGTCAGTTATGATTTCAGGGGTAAGGACTGACCTATCATTCATAGAGATGGTGAAGGGACTTGTAAACCATATGGTGTCCCTGATATAAGTGCAATCCTATTTTTGATATATAAAGGTCAACAGGTCAGGTTATTCTTGGTCTGGCTGTGCACAGTGCCACAATGCATAATAGTGCAACTGTTTGATTTTATTTATTAATATGATTTAAGGGTATTTTGTATGTTATATTTTTAACAATAGCTAATAATAAAGTATAGAAGTGATTCTATATACCTATATATATATAGGTCAACAGTCTATAAATTACTGGCCTTTAACTGGAGCTGTAAAAAAACAAGTGATTTTACAAACCTATTTATTAGTAATGTAGTCAAGAGTATACTGTTGGCGTCTATAACCAAACGAATGACAGGATATTATACTTACAGGGATCAGTCAGGACAAAACCTATTTTGATGTTTTATTTTACTTGTCTCGTGTTGTTTCTGTTGAGCCTGTGAGGTGTTTTTTTTTGTCATTCTGTTTTAATGCAAGTAATATACCTGACCTAATTAATGCGATTTAGATACATCTGAGATCTCAAGAAACTGTTACATTTTAACTGATGTCGGTAAACACTCCATTAGGTTCAGTTGGTGATATATTGATACTAGTAGTTGTTATAAGACTATCAGTCATAAATCACTATACTTGTTTTATTTTTGGAAGATTGTGTAAAAACAAAGAACGTTTTTGAAAAGTTTATGAGAATTACAGACTAACCTCTACACCAGCTAGTGGAATGCTGTGTGCTGTTGTACACTAATATTACTTTGTCAAATTGACTGAAGTTCATATCAAAGATTTCAAGTTTCAAATTATCACATATTCATGTAAATCCATGAGAATGTAAAATATACAGGCAATCAGCTCTCAAAATTGGTGTAGAAATAGTGATCCACTACCAATTTACAGGACTGTGAAATAGACCTGGTCTGTTACAGGACTGTGAAATAGACCTGGTCTGTTACAGGACTCAGAAATAGACCTGGTCTGTTACAGGACTGTGAAATAGGCTTGGTCTGTTACAGGACTGTGAAATAGACCTGGTCTGTTACAGGACTGAAATAGACCTGGTCTGTTACAGGACTGTGAAATAGACCTGGTCTGTTACAGGACTCAGAAATAGACCTGGTCTGTTACAGGACTGTGAAATTGACCTGGTCTGTTAGAGGACTGTGAAATTGACCTGGTCTGTTAGAGGACTGTGAAATTGACCTTGTTGGTTTTATTTCTAATTAGAAATTGGTTCCCTGAGAGGTCGCAGTTTAAAGCTTGCAATAAAGATCTGTGAAATCTGTTCCTTTTCTTTGATTTAAATGTTCTTGCCAAATTGCAAGGTTTAATGTGAATGTGATCTGTGTAACTGCTCACCAAGTCGGGCTGATTAAGGTGTGCAACAGCTGTGACAGTACAGCAGTGTTTGACATTACTTACACTAGTTAGTTTTCTGGTGAGTCAATGCTTTCCTAGATATTTCGTTTCAACTTAGATTAATTAACTTTATTAAACAAATTAATTAAGTTGGACAGTTGCCATGAAAACATTGTTTCAAACTAGAAAACAACTTTACTGTGAAACCAGATGCTGTAGAGCTTTCTTACTTTAGTGTAGAATCACTGGGTACACCGGACAGATGGTTCCAGTCTGTTGGACCAGTGTACACTAACTGTTGTGGTGTAGTATGGTCAAATAGCTGTTGTATAAGAGTAGGAAGATGTGTTTGTGCCAAGTGCTGAGTGATATGGGAGATTTGATTATGTATATCCCACCAGGGGCCTGTACACAGGTATGTTATGTGTGAGAGTGAGACATGTTTGTGATATATTTCATGGGTAGGAATTCTCCTTTTTAACACAAATCAAATTGGCCCACAACATATGGAAAACAAAGCAATTTTCCAAGCGTGGGAGGATAAAAGATGCTGTTTTAATCGTGTAAGGAACATTTCACATCGTTGATCACATATTCCTTTTATGACTCCTCATCAGTACCTTTTAGTTTATACATGAATAATAGTGAAGAGACAATTAAAATTTTCATGAAATGGATGATAACTATATATGTAGTTTTCTTGTTTTTTGTGCGTCCTTTCACCTCCGGGACACCTAGGTGTCTGTATACAATGAAACCCCTTTGTTGAGGACTCCATGGCTTCTTAATAATAAAACCTCCTTAATTCAAGACATTTTGGTTTCTATGTACAACTGAACCTTACTGGTCAAGATATTTTGGTTTCTATGTACAACAGAACCTCATTGGTCAAGATATTTTGGTTTCTATGTACAACATAACCTCATTGGTCAAGACATTTTGGTTTCGATGTACAACAGAACCTCATTGTCAACACAATTTAATTTTATTGCACAAAAGAATCTCTGAAAAAAATATGTTATGGCTTCTTAGAATAACAAAACTTCATTGGTGAAGACAATTAATATTCTCTGTACAACAGAACCTCATTGGTCAAGATATTTTGGTCTCTGTGTACAACAGAACCTCATTGGTCAAGATATTTTGGTTTCTGTGTCAGAACCTTTGGTCAAGATATTTTGGTTTCTGTGTCAAGATATTTTGGTTTCTGTGTACAACAGAACTTTATCGGTCAAGATATTTTGGTTTCTGTGTACAACAGAACCTTATCGGTCAAGATATTTTGGTTTCTGTGTACAACAGAACCTTATCGGTCAAGATATTTTGGTTTCTGTGTACAACAGAACCTTATCGGTCAAGATATTTTGGTTTCTGTGTACAACAGAACCTCACTGGTCAAGATATTTTGACAATGAATTGAAAACCCCAATATAGCACAATATGACAAATTCATGAGGTGCAGAAAGATTCTTCAGAAAAGTTCAACTTGATAATTGTGCAAAGATAAGTTGAAAATATCTACGGAGAAACATATAATTGGGTTATCGAAGCAAAAATTAATGGAAGTGGATTTCATTGGAAAGACAAACTGTTACAGAAGTTCAGAAGACTGCCACATGGGGAAAAATAAGCTATCAGCGGTAACGTAAACATTTGTACGTAAAAGTATGACTGGAGTAGGACAACAGTTCTGTCAGGATCTCTGGTTTTGTGTAGGGTAGCGCATTTCCTTCATTATCAATTAAATATTCATGTTTAATTGAAAATCGGCGAAACCGATATGAGGTCTGATAAGGCCACACAATACGGCGTCTGGCTGGTCTCGTCACTTTGCAGTGAAAGTTCCCCTGCTTCATCACAATGTTTCTTTTCTTCGTTACAACATGGCTTATAATTAAAGTAATCAAATTTCACAATTACAAACTTACAGGTGAATGGGGATTAGAGATACCATTCGAGACGTATCGTGTTCGTATAAAATTTGAAGCCGCTAACTAGTGGTCAGCTGGTTAGAAACTGGCGCCGCTAACTAGTAGTGAGGTGGTTAGTAACTAACGCCAAAAAACTAGTGGTCAGCTGGGTAGTAACTAACACCGAAAAACTAGTGGTAAGCTGGGTAGTAACTGGTGCCGCTAACTAGTGGTCAGCTGGATAGTAACTAACGCCAAAAAACTAGTGGTCAGTTGGGTAGTAACTGGTGCCGCTAACTAGTGGTCAGCTTGGTAGTAACTAACGCCAAAAAACTAGTGGTCAGCTGGGTAGTAACTAACGCCAAAAAACTAGTGGTCAGTTGGGTAGTAACTAGTGCCGCTAACTAGTGGTCAGCTGGGTAGTAACTGGCTCCGCTAACTAGTGGTCAGCTTGGTAGTAACTGACGCACGAAAAACCTAGTGGTCAGCTGGGTAGTAACTGGCTCCGCTAACTAGTGGTCAGTTGGGTAGTAACTGGTGCCGCTAACTAGTGGTCAGCTGGGTAGTAACTGGCTCCGCTAACTAGTGGTCAGTTGGGTAATAACTGGCTCCGCTAACTAGTGGTCAGCTGGGTAGTAACTGGCTCCGCTAACTAGTGGTCAGCTGGGTAGTAACTGACGCCGATAATTAGTGGTCAGTTGGGTAGTAAATGACGCCGATAATTGGTGGTCAGTTGGGTAGTAACTGACGCCGGTAACTAATGGCTAGCTGAGTAGTTAACACCATTGGCCCTTTATGAAGTATGTCGACAGTACCATAATACCTTGTAAAGATGTCGGCAATATTACATACATATATTCTTGCCCCAGGACATCTAAGCGACCTCAGTCGTGTTACAGCCCTTGCTCTGAAATCACTCGCACATAACAGTTGTAAGGTGTATTCATAAACACAGTAATTAGGATAACGAATTTCATTATCGTGTTGGTGATTGAAGAGTACAACATCAGTCACGTGATCCATTTGTTTGCCTGGGGTCCTTGTTCCCGCGCAGTGATTTATACAGCAGCTGGCATGTAACGAACATGTGTCCGGAGTGCACAGTCCTTATAAGACATGTAAATGCTATGCAGTACCACATATATTGTGCTCCGCGTAATACTGCGCTGGTCAGTACCACATATATTGCGCTCCGTGTAATACTGCACTGGACAGAACCACAGATATTGTGTTCCGTGTAATACTGCGCTGGACAGTACCACAGATATTGTGCTCCGTGTAATACTGCGCTGGACAGTACCACAGATATTGTGCTCCGTGTAATACTGCGCTGGACAGTAACACAGATTTTGTGCTCCGTGTAATACTGCGCTGGACAGTAACACAGATTTTGTGCTCCGTGTAATACTGCGCTGGACAGTACCACAGATATTGTGTTCCGTGTAATACTGCGCTGGACAATACCACAGATATTGTGCTCCGTGTAATACTGCGCTGGACAGTGCCACAGATATTGTGCTCCGTGTAATACTGCACTGGACAGTACCACAGATATTGTGTTCCGTGTAATACTGCGCTGGACAGTGCCACAGATATTGTGTTCCGTGTAATACTGCGCTGAACAGTACCACATATATTGTGTTCCGTGTAATACTTTTTTTAATCGAGACATTTTACGTTGTAACTGTTTCGTTCTATGTCTGTATAACCATCACACTGATGACTACGATAAAAAAAACCTCATGTGGACAGTTGGAGGGGATTTTGACTTTGTGATTTGAGTATCTAAAACATTATTCGGTATTGATAAATCATTGAAGAATGTGGGAGTACTGTTTTAGCTTTTTCGTGTTGAGAATGATGGTTGGACGGTTTTGAAGCCAGTTGACCTGACAGACGAGTGAGTTACGACAGGATGTTTTGAACGTCAACGTTACGGTCGCCTGATTCAGACGTAAACTTTACGGTCGCCGGTTTTAGTAGTGACTGGGTAGGTTTTTTCTGCTGGAGAGTTTGGGACGATTTAGAGGTCTTTCAACATGACTCTCAGGAACATGTAATTTTCATATCAAAATGCACACTCTGTCAGGATTGATGTTAGATCCTTATCATTTACAAACGCACTGGTGTGGAAAGCCGACGATGTCCTAGAATGTGGAGCTTTTGTCGTAGATAAATCACTGTAAAAAGTATGACGGCGACCATAATTCCAAACATGCTGATAGCAAGTTCGACGGATTTATACGTGACAAGATATGATAACTCTACCTATACTAACGGTAGTTCCATCACGTCTGCTCCAGCTAACTGTCTGACGTCATTCTGTATCCCGATGACGGTTGCCATTAGTGTCATCGCTGTTTGTGGTATTGTCACCAACTTCATTGTCATTTTGGTTATAACCAAGGACTCGCGTCTTCGTCGGCCGACATTTACGGCCATAGTCGCCCTGTCTATATCCGACTTCACGTTCCTCCTGTTCCGGTATATCCGGTATGTGATAACGGGTTACTTTCGGGACGTTATATCCCTCCATGTGATGAAGAATATTAAGTTTGTATGCGATCTGGTTGGTTTGACGGCGGGAGGATCCTCTATCATTCATGTTATACTCTTATCGATTCTTCGTTACTATATTGTGGTTCACCCCTTAAAGAGTCACATCGCCATTACAAACAGGAGGATTATGTTGGTGTCGCTGGGTGTGTGGGTGTTCAGTGGGCTAAACGGCTGGTTTTATCTGTACGCCGTCATTATAAACCGACAGAACGACCTACAGATGTCAAAGGTCACCAATATCGTTGTAACCTTGGTGATGTCCATTTTACCGCTCGTTATCATCTTATTTTTCCACGTCCTCAAGGCCAGAAAACTCAAAGATTCTATCGCCGCATGCAAACTAAATGCCACAAAACAAATGTCGCAGATTGTCACGTTTGTTATCGTCACATACATCGTTACGACAACTCCTGTCAATACCAGAGACATATTGTTGATATCATGGGGGGATTCCAAGGAAACGTGGATGATGGTGTTTGGCCAGATTGGGCGTTTGTTGTTATTCCTAAACTACGCAATCAACCCGTTCATCTACTTTGTCCATTCTCCACAGTTCAGGAAGAAAATTTGGTGTTGTAGCCGGAGACGTACCACGCATTACGTGTCAACAGATCGGACACTTCGGTCAATGTCATCAAACTCGCGCGTCACTGAGGCGGTCAGTCTCTCACCAGAAAGTACTCACTTGTAATGATGATTTATTTTGTTAAATGGCTTTCACTTCGGAGCTGTACAATGTGTGACCTTGTACTGGTGGACAACGTTCGTCTGTATTTATAAAATGACATTCCATCAGGACAGGACAATATTCTGCTGAAACGCCAGTGTTGTGAAATCTATAATTAACTTGTTCATTTACAGCAAACGAAATCACATACGAAAGCAAGAGAAAAGACTATATAATACCACAGAAAAGGTTGCTTTTCTTGCTGTCGAGTCTATGGAGGTTTTCTGGTCCTTTGCGGCTGCTGTAACTTCGGCTTATTGTCAACAGAGTTAATTTGTCTGAAGTGTTCATGTTCTACCACAAGCTGTTCTTCGTCGTGTATCGTAATGGATTCCTGGACGCATGATAAGTCACTGCAGCAATTCAAACCGATTTAGCTTTAAATGATTAAATTCATATGAAAAGTGCAGATGTGTTACTTGTATTATCGACCTGTTTTCCAGTTTGTATACGGAACAGTTTATTGTGTGTGGACAAGTTGTGTCGTGTAGATGTATGATGTATACTGTGTGTGGACAAGTTGTGTCGTGTAGATGTATGATGTATACTGTGTGTGGAGAGGTCGTGTCTACTATATGTACAGGTGTAAATATCCTGTAAGTTTGTATAGTGTTAATTGTGTGTAGAGATGCCATATACTGTCAGTTTGTATAATGTTAACTGTGTGTGGAGATGGCGTATAATGTCAGTATGTAAGGTGTTAACTGTGTGTGGGGATGTCGTATCCTGTCAGTATGTAAGGTGTTTACTGTGTGTGGAGAAATCGTATCCTGTCAGTATGTAAGGTGTTTACTGTGTGTGGAGAGGTCGTGTCCTGTCATATAGGTGCCTACTGTGTGAAGAGATGCCATATACTGTTAGTTTCAATAGTGTTTACTGTGTGTGGAGATGGCGTATCCTGTCAGTATATAAAGTATTTACTGTGTGTGGAGAAATCGTAACCTTTCAGTATATAAGGTCTTTACTGTGTGTGGAGATGTCGTATCCTGTCAGTATGTAAGGTGTTAACTGTGTGTGGAGAAATCGTATCCTGTCAGCATGTAAGGTGTTTACTGTGTGTGGAGAAATCGTATCCTGTCAGTATGTAAGGTGTTTACTGTGTGTGGAGAAATCGTATCCTGTCAGTAGGTAAGGTGTTAACTGTATGTGGGGATGTCGTATCCTGTCAGCATGTAAGGTGTTTACTGTGTGTGGAGAAACCGTATCCTGTCAGTAGGTAAGATGTTAACTGTGTGTGGAGAAATCGTATCCTGTCAGTAGGTAAGGTGTTAACTGTGTGTGGAGAAATCGTATCCTGTCAGTAGGTAAGGTGTTTACTGTGTGTGGAGAAATCGTATCCTGTCAGTATATAAGGTGTTAACTGTTTGTGGAGATGACGTATCCTGTCAATATGTAAGGTGTTTACTGTGTGTGGAGAAATCGTATCCTGTCAGCATGTAAGGTGTTTACTGTGTGTGGAGAAACCGTATCCTGTCAGTAGGTAAGATGTTAACTGTGTGTGGAGAAATCGTATCCTGTCAGTAGGTAAGGTGTTTACTGTGTGTGGAGAAATCGTATCCTATCAGTAGGTAAGGTGTTTACTGTGTGTGGAGAAATCGTATCTGTCAGTATATAAGGTGTTAACAGTGTGTTGAGAAATCGTATCCTGTCAGTATGTAAGGTGTTTACTGTGTGTGGAGAAATCGTATCCTGTCAGTAGGTAAGGTGTTTACTGTGTGTGGAGAAATCGTATCCTGTCAGTATATAAGGTGTTAACTGTTTGTGGAGATGTCGTATCCTGTCAGCATGTAAGGTGTTGATTGTGTGTGGAGAAATCGTATCCTGTCAGTTGTAAGGTGTTTACTGTGTGTGGAGAAATCGTATCCTGTCAGTATATAAGGTGTTAACTGTTTGTGGAGATGACGTATCCTGTCAATATGTAAGGTGTTTACTGTGTGTGGAGAAATCGTATCCTGTCAGCATGTAAGGTGTTTACTGTGTGTGGAGAAACCGTATCCTGTCAGTAGGTAAGATGTTAACTGTGTGTGGAGAAATCGTATCCTGTCAGTAGGTAAGGTGTTTACTGTGTGTGGAGAAATCGTATCCTATCAGTAGGTAAGGTGTTTACTGTGTGTGGAGAAATCGTATCTGTCAGTATATAAGGTGTTAACAGTGTGTTGAGAAATCGTATCCTGTCAGTATGTAAGGTGTTTACTGTGTGTGGAGAAATCGTATCCTGTCAGTAGGTAAGGTGTTTACTGTGTGTGGAGAAATCGTATCCTGTCAGTATATAAGGTGTTAACTGTTTGTGGAGATATCGCATCCTGTCAGCATGTAAGGTGTTGATTGTGTGTGGAGAAATCGTATCCTGTCAGTTGTAAGGTGTTTACTGTGTGTGGAGAAATTGTATCCTGTCAGTATGTAAGGTATTTACTGTGTGTGGAGATGTCGTATCCTGTCAGTATATAAGGTGTTAACTGTGTGTGGAGAAATCGTATAAATGTTTACCTATGTGGAAAGGGTGTATACCGACTGTACTTGTGTAATAGAGGAAATGTCAGCGTCAATATATGGATTTTTACCATGTGAAGAAGGGATGTGCACTGTTTTGGTGTGAAGTTTTGCTGTATGTTAGTGTGTAGAAGATTTGTATACGGATGTTAGTATGTGAATAAAAGACGTATTGCGTCAGGAATGACCCAGGAAAACATCACAAACTAAAGACAAACGATTAAATAAAACAAATCCCGAGGTTAAAAACATGATAATTAAGAAAAAAATCGCCAGAAACCAGAAAATAGACACGATAATCAAGAAAATCACCACAGACTATAGTGAAAACATACAGTACTTCTCAAGTGTAGAAACAAAGTAAATGTATAAAATAGTAGGAAACATAAGTATCTGAATAGAGACATAAGAAACATGAGTACTTCTCAATAGTGAAAACATAAGTACTTCTCAATAGTGAAAACAACAGTAATAATAGTGAAATGTACAGTACTTCTCAATAGTGAAAACATACAGTACAGTACTTCTCAATAGTGAAAACATACAGTACTTCTCAATAGTGAAAACATACAGTACTTCTCAACAGTGAAAACATACGGTACTTCCCAATAGTGAAAACATACAGTACTTCTCAATAGTGAAAACATACAGTACTTCCCAATAGTGAAAACATACAGTACTTCTCAATAGTGAAAACATACAGTACTTCTCAATAGTGAAAACATACAGTACTTCTCAATAGTGAAAACAGACAGTACTTCTTAATAGTGAAAACATACAGTACTTCTCAATAGTGAAAACATACAGTACTTCTTAATAGTGAAAACATACAGTACTTCTTAATAGTGAAAACATAAAGTACTTCTCAACAGTGGAAAAATACTTCTCAATAGTGAAAACATACAGTACTTCTTAATAGTGAAAACATAAAGTACTTCTCAACAGTGGAAAAATACGGTATTTCTCAATAGTGAAAACATACAGTACTTCTTAATAGTGAAATCATAAAGTACTTCTCAACAGTGGAAAAATACGGTACTTCTCAATAGTGAAAACATAAGGTACATCTCAATAGTGAAAACATACACTACTTCTCAATAGTGGAAACATACAGTACTTCTCAATATTGGAAACATACAGTACTTCTTAATAGTGAAAACATACAGTACTTCTCAATAGTGAAAACATACAGTACTTCTCAATAGTGAAAACATACAGTACTTCTCAATAGTGAAAACATACAGTACTTCTCAATAGTGAAAACATATAGTGTACTTCTCAATAGTGAAAACATACAGTACTTCTCAATAGTGAAAACATACAGTACTTCTCAATAGTGAAAACATACAGTACTTCAATAGTGAAAACATCAATAGTGAAAACATACAGTACTTCTCAATAGTGAAAACATACAGTACTTCTCTAATAGTGAAAACATTCTTCAATAGTGAAAACATACAGTACTTCTCAATAGTGAAAACATACAGTACTTCTCAATAGTGAAAACATACAGTACTTCTCAATAGTGAAAACATACAGTACTTCTCAATAGTGAAAACATACACTACTTCTCAATAGTGAAAACATACAGTACTTCCTAATAGTGAAAACATAAAGTACATCTCAATAGTGAAAACATACAGTACTTCTCAATAGTGAAAACATATAGTACTTCTCAATAGTGAAAACATACAGTACTTCTCAATAGTGAAAACATACAGTACTTCTCAATAGTGAAAACATACAGTACTTCTCAATAGTGAAAACAGACAGTACTTCTTAATAGTGAAAACATACAGTACTTCTCAATAGTGAAAACATACAGTACTTCTTAATAGTGAAAACATACAGTACTTCTCAATAGTGAAAACATACAGTAAACATACAGTACTTCTCAATAGTGAAAACATACAGTACTTCTCAATAGTGAAAACATACAGTACTTCTCAATAGTGAAAACATACAGTACATCTCAATAGTGAAAACATACAGTACTTCTCAATAGTGAAAACATACAGTACTTCTCAATAGTACTTCTTAATAGTGAAAACATACAGTACTTCTCAATAGTGAAAACATACAGTACTTCTTAATAGTGAAAACATACAGTACTTCTTAATAGTGAAAACATACAGTACTTCTCAATAGTGAAAACATACAGTACTTCTCAATAGTGAAAACATACAGTACTTCTCAATAGTGAAAACATACAGTACTTCTCAATAGTGAAAACATACAGTACTTCTCAATAGTGAAAACATACAGTACTTCTCAATAGTGAAAACATACAGTACTTCTCAATAGTGAAAAAGTACTCAATAGTGAAAACATACAGTACTTCTCAATAGTGAAAACATACAGTACTTCTCAATAGTGAAAACATACAGTACTTCTCAATAGTGAAAACATACAGTACTTCTCAATAGTGAAAACATACAGTACTTCTCAATAGTGAAAACATACAGTACTTCTCA